TTTTTCAGCATGTAGGTGTAGTTCGGTTATTGTCTCATCAAAGGCAGGGAGGAAAAAAAAAAGAGTCTGGAAACAGTTCTGTGAATGGCTATCTGGCTGCTGTCAGTCTGCTGTTGCTGGAGGCTTTATTTATGAAGATCTCAGGAGTGAGCACCTAGGCAGGCAGGCTTTGTTTACTTAGAGTTCTCCTGGGCAGAACTGCCACTGCTACAAGCTTTCCCCTTTCCAAGCATACACTGGGGGAGGTGACACTGTACCACCTTTCTCAGGCCTGCGTGTTATTTACAGCTCACATGGGAAGTGGGTCTTTCCCCTCTCCTGTGGAGTTTTCCTCCCACCGCCACTTTTACAAGCTTTCCCACTTCTGGTTGCTGGGCGTGTGCTGCCAGTCCTGCCTTCTCCAGTTGGCTTGTTGTGAGGGATTTCCCCTCTCCCCCCCCTTTTGGCGCTCAGGGCACCCCGCCCTCTTTACTATGTGTCTTTTTTGTTGTTATTGCTTATATTCAGTTTTCTTTTCTTTTTTTCTGTGGGCGGTCAGTCTGTCCAGGGGGCTATGTGATCTGGTCCAGGGTTGTCCGTGGGTGTACCGAGTGCCGCTTAGCTGACCTTGTGGTCTGTGTCTTCCCAAGCCATCTGGGCGCTGCCGTCTGGTAGCGGCGCGGGAGCCCTCTGGGTTTCTCCATTTAACTTCAAGTGGAGATGCTATGCGCAGGCTGGAGGTATGGAGGAGTCAACATTTTGCCTCTTCTTGGTGGTTTTTCCTGTGAGGTGTATCTCCATTGTCTCTCCAAGATTTTACTTTAGGTGGCATGCTTTCTGCTTCCTCCCTCTAGCCACCATCTTGGAATCTTCTTTATATTTATTACAGTTACTGATATAGAATGGTGAATTTTCATTATTTACATTGAACAACAATGTAAATACTATATTTTCTTTTCACTTGGAATGATTTCTATAATTTATTGTGGAAATTTTTTGCTTGAACTCAGGGCCTATACTTTGAGCCACTGCACCAGCCCTTTTTGTGAAGGGTTTTTTTCTAGGTAGGGTCTCCTGAACTATTTGCCCAGGCAGGCTTTAATCCGCGGTCCTCCTGATCTCTACCTCTTGAGTATCTAGGATTACAGGCATGAGTTAGCAGCATGTGGCATATTTTTCAGGGAAGAATTATTTAATTTGCTAATGGTGTCAAAGGGTTTGGTCCATAATCACTTGGCCCAGAACATCTGTCAGCAAGAGCAAGCAAAAGGAGCCAGGGACAATATACCTTCCCATTCCCCCACCCCCATAACCTACTTCCTCCAGCTAGGTCCCACCACCACGTTTTTCCACCATCTCCCAAAATAGCACCACTATCTAGGGACCAGATGTGAGGGACATTTCAGAGTCAAATGGTAACATTTTACCTTTGCCCCAAGGACTTATTGCCATCCCATAATGAAAATGTATTTGGTCTATCTTCTAGAGTACCACCCAATGTTTTATTTGTATGGAATTTATTTAAATGAGGCTATTAGAATTAGAAACATATCTACTAAACTATTCCTATTGAGTATTCACTTACTATGCATTACTTAGCATGTGTTACATCAATATTATAATGGAATCTTTTGTTTTATCATGTCTTTGTTGTAAGAACGTGTTCCCTGTTTTGAAGTAGTGGAACTTGAAATAGAGAAGGGAGTAAGAAGTTGCACTACAAAAGGTGTGAATTTAAGATATATTGCAAGCACTTTTGTATATGTCACAGTGTACCCCCAATACACAATAATATGATAATAAGTTTAAAGATAATTTAAATACATGGCAAATACTGTGCCATTTTACGTGGAAAAGAAGTTGTAAAGAAACCTTTAGTAAAGCTTTTAATGGAACATCAATAAGCAAGTAAATGGAAAGGGTAGTTTCATTTGGATTTAAATTTCAAACTGTTGGGTTTTAAATAACAGCAAATGCTGGTGGGGATGCAAGAGTGGGAAGGATCCCTTACATACTAGTGATGGGAATGTAAATTAATATGGAAGAAATCAGTTTGGAGGTTGTTAAAATTAAAACTACCCTAAGACCCTGTTACACTACTCCTGGGCATATATACCCAAAGAAATCAAAGTCAACATAAGTAGACATACCTGTACACCTATGTTTATTACAGTACAATTTACAGTAGCCAAGTTATAGAATCAGTTTAAGTGCGCAACAGCAGATAAATGTATTAAAGAAATTATGATATATAATATATATATATATATATATATATGCAGTGGACTATTTATTAACAATAGAGTGAAATGGCATTTGCAAGAAATGGATGGAACTGGATGGAAATCATGCTAAATGAAATAGTCTCTGAATAACAAATATTGCATGTTTTCACTCATGTGGAATGTACCTAAAAACAAATAAGCAAAGAAAACATGAATATACAAAGGAAACTATTTTTCTTGAGAGTGGGGAGCCAGTAGAAAGAAGGAGGGGAACAAAAGGTAATGGAAGGTAAATGGGTGGAAATATGTAAGTGTACAAAAATGTCATAATGAAACCCACCATTTTATAAAATTTAAAAAGAATTGTTGAAAAATTGTTGGGTTTTGAATATTTTTAAGAAAATATCTAAAATCTGTTTCTAACATAAAATTGTAGAAAGTTGTATTTAAATGGGTAATTCAGATTAATTTGTGTTTAGAAATGAATTGTACATAGATGTTTGAGATATTTGAGTAATTTCTGGAATTCCTTTTATTTTTTTGTCTGATACACAGAGATTCTTCCTATTTCTGATTACAGTCTTCTATATGTAAATCCAGTGGAAAAACTTTACCATTCCCATACAAGAAGTAAAGTGCAAAGTTAGCTTTATTGTCAAAAGAGAGAAGAAACTAGAGCTAATGGATGGCAGACCTAGCATAATACCTTTGCTCTTTGTTAGATCTTATTATTTGATTAGAAGTCTTGTTTTTTATCAACTATATGATTGCTATAATTAGAATTCCCTTTTGGAGTGATTATATGATATTGAAATAAACTTACCTTTTTTATATGAATTTTATTTGGGGTATAATTTACTTTCTCAAAATGTACCCATTTTAATTCACTCACAGTTTGTTTTGACAATGTAATCGATACCCCTGAAATTTTCTTAGACCTCTGTGATGAGTTCCTCCTCTATACCCTGTCTCTTCTCTAGATTAGTTTTGCCCTTTTTGGTTTCTGAGACAAGGTCCCTCTGTAGCCAATACTGGCCTCAAACTCATCAGTCATTCTATATCAGCCTTTCCAGTGCGGGATATATAGGCAGAAACCATCACACCCAACAATTTCAGCTTTTTGTAAGCAATTTTTTTCACAGTTTAATTTTCATATAGTAAATTACATGCCTTGCTCTTTTTAATAGTTTTTCTGCTACCAAAATACTTATTTTACTTTATCACTAAGACATTGCTTTGCTTTAAGATGTTAAGTGGTATAAGTTTTGGAGAAGAGTTTTGATTCCATCTAGTCTTAAGTTTATATGTAATTTGTTAGTAAATTGACAGTTAAAAACTTATTGCAGTACCTTTCATAAGTAGAACGTATTATAAGCAAGCATTATCCAAGTGTAACATTGTGACTAGTATGTGCTGGAATTTTGAATTTTAATGGGCTAGTAGTTTTCATGTGGATTTCTAGTGTCTTTTTGTATATCCATTTCTTTTTCATGAATCGTCTTGCTATTTTTGTTATAAATTCCTCTGCCTTCCTATTCCTTCTCTTCCTTCTTTTTCTTTTCCTCTTATTTTTCTTCTTCACCAAATCTGTCTTAGTTGGCAAGCTAGGAACAAGTTTGCTCAAACTTTGAGACTAACGCTGACTACTGTATCTTCTTTTCTATTTCTTGCTACTGTTACTAACTACTTCTAATCTCTCTTTTTCCTACTCTGGTTTTTCATTGTTTCTTACATTTGAATGAGCTTAAGAAGTATGATTCTACTTCTTATGGCTTTGAGACACTTAATGGTGGCAGTGTCTAAACTTTATGGTGATTATGGTCTCTTAGGATTCTGGGGTAAGAGGCAAAGACAAACTATTTAAAGAATTCTTGGACAGTTTATCTCATAATGGCCTGGTAGGAGGACCACAGCATAGGTAGGTATAGAAGTTTTGGGTTTTTATCTTGTCTGCATCTTTTTCTCACATCTTGTGAGAAATCAGGTCTTTGAAGAACATGGTTTCAAGTTGGATATAAAAATGAAAAAGATAATCTGCTTCCAGAAAGGTGCAAGTCAATAGCAGTTATAAAATATAAACTTATAATTCAATGGTAGGCTGGTAGAGTGACTCAAGCGGTAGAATGCCTGCCTGACAAGCATGAAACTGAGTTCAATTCCCAGTACAACAAGAAAATAATAATTCAGTGTTAATTCCTGTAACTGTGAAGTGTTAAAAAATGATTGAAAATGTAAGAGACAAATTGCCCCCGTGCAATAAGAAAACCTTTTCTGGGTCAGTGATTCATCTATGAAGAAATAATACTGAAATTTTTTTGCCTTCCATACAGTTTTTATAATTGTGGTAAAGTATACATAACATAAAATTTATCATTTTAAATATACAGTTCTGTGTGATTAAGTACATTAGTTAACACTGTTGTTCAACCATCACTACCTTGCTTCCCAGAAGTTTTTCATCTTACCTTACTGAAATGCTATGCTCATTAAATACTAACTCTGTTCTTCCTCCTCAGGCTCTGGTAACCACTATTCTACGTTCTGTCTCTATGGATTTGACTATGTTAGGTAGTTTTCCTATTATTAAACACACCTTTGGCCTACTAGCCCAGCATATAGTAGGTATTCAATTAATTTCTAAATTAAGTAGGAATTGAAAGACATTTATATCAGTGAATTGACTGTTTCTTGAGTGAATCCAAATTGCTAATTATTGTTATACTAACCTTGCTGACTTTGTTTTCTATTAAGTATTTCTCATTTACGTTTTTCACATACTTTTTATTTTCTTTTTAGAGTGAATCAGGATATGGATCCGAATCCAGCTTGCGTCGACATGGTTCCATGGTGTCACTGGTATCTGGAGCAAGCGGCTATTCTGCCACCTCCACCTCTTCATTCAAGGTTTGTGATTATGAATGCTTTATGTTAAGGCAACGTTATTTGAGCTTAGTATTGGATTTTGTGAGCACAGCTTGGTAGGTTTTTGAAAGAACTTTTCTACAATGTAATTTGTTTGAAACTGTTAAAGAATAACTTTTAAGTGGTAAGATCATAACTCATACAAGTATAAAATAAACATTTCAGAGATTTTGATTTCATTCATTAATTAATGGAGTAAAATATAAAGTAAAAAATTGGTTCAGAGGAAAATCTGAAGAGTACTAAAATGAATTTGCTAATCAGAACTGACCAGTATCCACAGATTAATAATCAGTGCCTCTGCACAGGACAAAGTTCATTTTCATCTCTGTGGACAAGAATCACCTATAGGCTGAGTTTGGTGTCACATAACTGTAATCCTAGTACTCAGGAGGCTGAGGTAGGAGGATCACAAGTTCAAGACCATCATGGGCTACAATAGCAAGACCCTGTCTCAAAAAACAAAACAAAACAAGAATCACATACATTGCTTAGTTTTCTGCTAGAAGTTGTAAAGTAGCTCAAATGCAAGGAAAGACAAAAGTGTCATGTGATTAGCTATCACTCTCCCCTCAGGATTCTCTAGGTAATGCTCACCAATGCTTTGAAAGTATACCCAGTAATATATTTGCTCATTTCAAAGTCTGTCATACTTTTTCCTCACAGTGTCTAATTTTAAAATATTAAATGTACATTTAATATTTACATTAAATATTACAGATTATCAGGCATTATTAGTTTCTTATTTCCTACAGATTTATCAATATGAAATTACTAGATAAGTCAGTTTCAAGCTTATTCCTTAGGAATGTTACCGTGAACTCAACAGCTCTGTTTTTCCCATTCCCTGAGTGATAAGGTGCCAACCTTAAAAGGTGATGAAATACCATAGAGCCAGATAAAGTCCAGTTTTGTTTCACGTGTGTTACAAATCCCCACTTTTTTGTGTTTTGCAGAAAGGCCATAGTTTACGTGAGAAATTGGCGGAAATGGAGACCTTCAGAGACATCCTGTGTAGACAAGTTGATACTCTCCAGAAGTACTTTGATGTCTGTGCCGATGCTGTCTCCAAGGATGAACTCCAAAGGGACAAAGGTTAATTAGACTATTACCACTATTTTTACTTGGAGAATGAATGGATTTAAAGCCTCTTGATCTTAATGGGTAATGTCTTTAAGTAATAAAGGTTGTAGTCACTTTGGGTATAAACTCCTATTATAACAGGTTTCAATGTCCATGTAACTTGAATACTTACGTAAAAAAAAAAATCATATCCAATAATCTTGATAATAGGGATCACTTCACATTATTATGTCTAAGAAATTTTAGAGGAGACAAGCATATTTATTAAATCTTCCAGACCTAGAATCAGTCATTAGATCAGTTTCTTCCTTTATCCTTCTCTCTCCCTCTTGTTCCTCTTTCCTTCCCTCTCCTTTCTTTTTATTTTTATTTTTTTTTTTTTTTGCCATACTAGGGTTTGAACTCAGAGCGTACACCTTGAGCCACTCCACAAGCCCTTTTTTGTGATGGGTTTTTTTCAAGAGTCTCACAAACTATTTGCTCAGGTTGCCTTTGAGAACCATGATCCTCCTGACCCCTGCCTCCTGAGTGGCTAGGATTGCACTGGCATCCAGCTCCCTCTCTTTTTTCAACTCTTTCTCTCTTTCATCTCCCTCCCTCTGCCTTTTTTCTCATAGAAGAAACCATAATAAAGTTATATATATATGCTTAAAAATAATTTGTGAGTTTTTATTTTATGATTGTGAATTAACTTTTAATTTGAGATTTGAAGTTATTTTTCTTTGATTAGTGCTAAAGATACTGCTAATGCCTTCATATGTTTTTCAATTTTTCTCTTAATTTACTATGAAGGCAAAAATGAAACTACTCTAGCAGTGTTACTATCACTGAGTTCATTCCTAGTATAACTAGGTTGCGTGGCATGGTTTTATTTCTTGGTTTTACAAAATATGTTAAATCTGAGCTCAAATTCTTTTTGTCTTCTCTATTTTTTGTTCCCTTTTTATGCCTTCTTTTGGATTTTTTTTTAATAATTCTGTGTTACCACATTTGTTGACATCTAAGCTGTAACTCTTTATTTTAATGGCTTGCTTAGTGCTTATAGTTTGCATATTTAACTTACCACAGTCTGTCTTCAGAGTAACATCATAACACTTTGGTTGTAGTATCAGAACTGGACCAGGCCATGGCTCAAGTCATAGAGTACTTACCTATCATGCTTGAGGCCTTGTGTTCAATTCCCAGTATAGGAGGGCAAAAATAGTATCAGAACTCCCAAAATGTGTTTCCATTTCTCCCCACTACTGAGGCAAGAGTTTTCTAAGTTCTGCAACTAGTTCCCTATCAATTATGAGCTTTTTCAGTCTCCATATAAGCTTTGGATACTGTTCCCTGAAATCCTTTTAGAAGGTGCTTTCCCTGACATCTGTAGTTCCCTTATTTGTAGTACTCTGCTAAACACTCAGAGGAGATCTTCTACTGATCCCCAGTGATCTCTACCTGAATAGCTCTCTCTAGTAGTCTTCTTGCGAAATCTAGTTGCCTTTTTCTGCTTGAACTCATGTCAAAAGTCTACTGGATTCCTCCTGAGTTCCCTGTCCTTACTAGCTTAGAAACTCCCAAGACAAGTAGCTGGAGCAGCCATGGAACCTACATCATTTGTTATCCAAATCACAGAGATCACTCTCCTTGATTGTCTTATTTCCAAATCCATTGTTTCATTTGTTTTGTCCAGTTTTTTAGAACTTACTGTAGAATAATTTCAGTCCCAGTTTATTCCATCTTCTACAGAAGCAGAAATCCATTTCTGTGGAAGCTATTTAATTTAGGCAAAATTAAGTAGCCTTGAAGTCATTTATATTCACTGTAGTTAGGTTTTTGGTTCCTTAACTTTTTTTCTGTCTAAAAGTAAAAGAAGTTGAACTATTTATCCTTCTTTTTTTTTTTTAAGTATATCCTTTTTAATCAAATTAAACATTATACATTATCTTTCTTTTGTTTGCAAGTAGCCCCTTTAACAAAAACAGGATGCATACAGAATTGAATTTTTTGTTTAATTTTAAATGATCGATACCAAGAGTGTTACAGTGTTTGAAGGACAAAAGTGACAGTGGAGAAATAGAAGTTGGGATGTGTAGAAGATTTGGAAAATAATTTTTAAAAGTACTCTGAATCTTTTCTGTTACATGTTTGACTAAATAACAGTGTAGACTAATGTGTAGACTTGCTAGGGCTACTATAACAAGAGGCACCAAAGACCACGTGACTTAAACAACACATTTATTTTCTCACAGTTCTCAAATCAAGCTGTTAACAGGGTTGATTTCTTCTGAGGGTCCTGAAGGAAGTATGTGTTCCAGGATTCTCTCTTTGGCAGACAGATGGGTGTCTTCTTCTATCTACAAGTCTGTGTTCAAATATCCTCTTCTTAAGAGGACACCAGTCGTACTAGATAAGGGCCTACCCCAATGACTTCATTTTCTTTTAATCTCCAGAAATAGTCACATTTTGAGGTACTGGGATTTAGGACTTTAACAGAGGAATAGGGTGGGGTGGAGGAAGCAATTCAGCCCCTAATAGCCCATACAAATGCTATTAAGAAATACTGGTGTTTTTAAGAATACATGCTGAGTAAGGTGAAATGGTAAAGATATGGATCATAGTTTCGTACTTTGGTAATTCAGAGTTGCTGACCTTAGCCTCTTATGGATGTACCTTTATTAAATTATCAAAACTAAGTTAGTGACTTAAGAATTACTGTTTATTTTGTGTCACTGAAATAATAATCTCATACTCTTAACTTATTTTATGTGTTCACTGTTTTGATATAAAGTATTTGTCAGAATTACTAGTAAGCTAATCAGCCTGATCCCTCACCACCATTACTCTTACAGAAGTAGAAGATAATGCCTTTTACCTAAATATATTGTTTGACTTTAAAAACAATACCTATATGCAACACTAAAAGTAAAAGTTCTTCTACTCTTTCTCTTCTGTTCATTGTTAGTTTAATAACTTAAAGTAGATTACTTAACATTTCTCAGCTTCTGTTTCCTCAGCTATAAAATGGATATTAATTATATCTAGTCCATGTGATTTGGGAATTAAAATATTTATGTTAGCACTGTTTAATAGCAAAAGCTCAATAATAGCTGTTAATAAATAATAGCTGCTATTGCTAATGTGCTTAATTTGGATTGTTAGGGGGGTAAAGGAAGCAGAAATTTACAAGATTCAAAGGATGAGATATATCATAATAGATTTGAGTGTTAGGAAGACCATTTGATTTATATAGGGGATTTTTTTAATAGAACTGTGGTTTCAAACTATATCACAGATCCTTAAGAGTTCCTTAAAAATGCCTCAAGGATGGACACAGTGTTTTTTTGGGAAGGAAAGAGGGAAGACCACTCTTTGTTTTCATCAGTTTCATATATGGTGCTATTAGGCTATTAGGTAGAGAATATTAAACACAACAGTTGGGATTTAACCGAAAAATTGATTTTCCTATTAGTAATTTGAAAAGTTATCATTTAGGCAAGAATATAAAAAAAATCAACCACTGTAACATAGATGGAATGCTTTCTTCCATGAGCATTTTTTTAAAGTGGGTGAATCTCTGTTTATAGAACCTTATTGAGCGGCTCTAAAGTTGAAGGTTTAGATCCAGGTTTAGGTGGAGGTTTCATGATGGAAGATCCAGGAATGTGTAGTTAATAGACTTGCTTAAAGATTACAAAAGTGAAAATATGTATCATGAGTGATGGAGAAAACAAAGGAGTAGCTAATTATAGAGTTAAGGATACAAAACTGAGACTTTTGTATCTCAAAGTAGATACTAATGTGATGATTCAAGTATCAGTCATTCAGTAGCATTTAAGAGCAGTCTATAAAAGTAGTATTGAATTAACATCAGGATCTTGTCTAATGATGAGTACTGGTTTGAAACCAGAGCAGTATGCTATACTAATGGATTACTTGGAACTGACCATAATTACAAATGACTAATGAGATTAAAGACCCATAGAATCTGGGAAAGTGGTATGGACATCAAAGTTGGTAAGAATGATGAAAATGAGAAAAAATGCCAACTAGATATTGATGTCATTCAGGTAGTTAGGAATGAATGCAAGGTGTTAGTAAGTAATAGGTTGTGGTTTGAGAAAAGCACTTGTGTATGATTAGTAAAATTTTCAAGTAATGAAAAATGAAATAGTCCAGTAATTAGAAAATGGCAATACAAATAAAGGTATTGTACATTGTGATTCCTACCTGTTAGTTAAAGAGGAAATAAGGTAACAAATTGATCTCTGCATCCGTAGGAGAGAAAGGTAAAGAGAATGATATGTTGTTGAGCCAGAATATTCCTCAGGTAAAGAAATACAGGTAATGTGTAAGATTACTTCTGTAGAGTCCCTCAAAATATCATACAAGTTAAATTTCTAAAATGCTTGGGATCAGAAGTGCTTTGGATTTGGGAATTTTATTGGATTTGGAATATTTGCATATACATAATGATATATATGTCTTTGAGATATGACCCATCTAAACTTAAAACTTATTTATGTTGCATATATACTATAAACATAATTAGAAGATAATTTTACGCAGTATTTTTAGTATACCTGGTTTCAGATGTGACATTTTCCACTTGTGGCATCATGTAAACATTTTCGATTTTGGATATTCAGAGCCTGAGGCAGGAGGATCATGAGGCCAGCTTGGGTAACACAGCAAAACCCTATCTGGAAGGGAGGGAAGGAGGGAGGCAGGGAAAGATGGACTTAAAAAAAGCAAAGAATAAGATTGAAGGCTCAGGTCCAGAAATACACATTATGATAGAATACATAGTACAGTGAATTGAAGAAAAAAAACGAAGTACATAAAAAGGTATACAAAGGGAAAACACAAGTCTGGGTTTTTTGGGTTTTGTTTTTTTGTTTTGTTTTGTTTTGTTTGTTTGTTTTTTTGCTTTTTGGTTTTTTCTGGGATTAGAGAAGTTAAAAGGAGTATCCAGTCACAGATATACATTGGGATGAATGAAAATTGGTATCATATCTACAAGTAGATATATTTTCCTGAATATACAGAAAAGAGGAGATTAAAGAACTCTTAGAGGTTATCTAAGGTATCTTCTGCATGTACGATATCCTTTTACAGGCCTGCTCTTCCAGGCCTCTTGAAAATATGAAATGGCCCCAAGGTATGGAGAAATAGATAAGACTAAAGGGTAAAATAAATTATACCATCCTTTACACAAAATGAAAATGGCATAGTTTCAAAGTAATGTATTTAATAACACTGCACAACATATTTATTTGGTGTGCCTTGATAACCAGTGGAAAGGGAAAAAAATGAATAAGCACTTACACTCAGAGGCTAGAGCTTACTGACTCATTTGTACATAAGAATAAGCTTATTTCTCCTTTTTCCTTTCTAATATCCTTAAATGTATTTTATTTAGTGGTAGAAGATGATGAAGATGACTTTCCTACAACACGTTCTGATGGTGACTTCTTGCATAATACCAATGGCAATAAAGAAAAATGTAAGTAATACATTTTCCCCCTCAGCTCTATAAAATATACAGAGTAATCCTAATTCAGTATTTTTTAAGCAGTAGCACTATTGGAATCCAAATTAAAATGTCTTCTAAGAAAAATCATGTAGGTAAAGTACACATTCCCATTTGTATAATAATGGCCAGACACTGTCTAACAAAGGCTTAGACCAGATTTTAGACCCTTTATTTCATCAGTATTGACAAAACAGTTTCTAGTACTGAACAGATCTTTTTCTTAGACAGAAACATGATTATGGAATTTGTTTTTAGTGTTTCTTTAGAATGTATTTCTCTGTGCTTCATGTACGTTTTTTTCTCCACTGACAACTGATATTAAGAAATATTTAATGACTGTTATTAGAGGAAAATTCTTAAAATGGCTCCAGTTGCCCAGCATGATTATTTATACACCCCAACACAGAATGTTTCATTTTACGGTGGCTTATTGATTGTTACTCTATTTATAGTACCTAGAATGAATTCTGAATTACTCATTACTGTACAGTATATTCAGTACTTATTACATATTACTTAGAAAAACCTAGAGTGGATTTCCATTACTTTTTAAGGTACAAAAAAGCCTTTGTGAAAAATACTAATCTAATTGTGCTGAATTTTGCTAAAATTCTAAAAGAACGTGAAGTAAAATCTGTGATAGCATATTTTCAAGTTGTTTTTAAACTGCTTTATCCATGGAAATTTTTTTTCTATTTTAGAAATCACATTAGAATTTTCCATTATTGATACTAAATCTAAGGCTTCTCTCTGCTTCACCTTTTCCTTCTTTCCTCTCCTTGCTGCTTATTTTCATTATGGCCCTTTCCTATAACATGCTCCCCTACTACTCTTGCAAAAATATTAGCTTAATATATATTAATAAGTTGTCCTTATAATTTGGGACTAAAATGTTAAAACTCATCTAGTCATCCAGTACGTTTATGGAGTTAGAGAACTATTTGAGGAATGTTCTTCCAGTTACATTTTAATGTCACAAAGAATAATCTGCTTTAATAGGAAAAAGTACTTTGTGTGGATATTAGAAAACAATTATTGAAAGAAGTTTTAATGCTCTCAAGACTGATCCACCATCCCACATTTATTCAGCTGTCCCACCTATGTTCCTAAAAAGGAATGGAAGATTATTTCCTTTAAAACTTGAACTGGAGAGTTCTAGATTCAGAAATATTTGGCACACCAAAAAAATAGGTGTATCACGTTAGCAATAAAATGATTACAAAGGAATGTACATACTAATTATTGAGATTTTACTGCCTCCTTGTTTTACTTATCTCCACAATCTCTGTATCAAAGTCTAGGGCTAGCAGAATGGCTCAGGAGGTAGAACGCCTACCTAGCAAGCATGAAGCACTGAGTTCAAACCCCAGTACCACCAAAAAAAAAAAGTCTACATACTGAAAGTTATAGTCCCCATCTCGCTTCTCTTACCCTATTTTCAAAATATCCATCTGCTGGGCATGTATTAGAAAGCAGTTCTAGGGAAACTGAATGGCCACAGAGTAAAAACCTGTAAGTAAAGATTTTGGGGATACTGTCATGAAAAAGCAAATCACCCTTTGATGAAGTCCACTAAGAGTTAAAAGCCCTGCTAATGTATGCAGAGCTTTTGGCTCTTACTCATAAATGTGAACAGAAAGTCCGATCTCTAGGCATTTGAAGAGACTACAATATGAAAGATAGTGACTGAAACAAGCAAACTAGAAAAAGAAACTCAGACAATACAGGAAGGAAAAGAAAATTACTCTTAATTTCTTTAATAAGAAAATGAAAGGCATCCAAGTTTGAAACCATCTATAGGTTTGTAGATGCCTGCAAAAAACTGAAACTAGATCCATGTTTATCGCCCTGTACTAGTATCAACTCAAAATGAATCAAGGATCTTAATATCAGACCCGAAACTCTGAAGTTACTACAGGAAAGAGCAGGGAATACTCTGGAAGTAATAGGTATAGGCAAGGACTTCCTCAATAGAACCCCAGTAGCTCAGCATCTAAGAGAAAGGATGGACAAATGGGACTACATAAAATTAAAAAGCTCTGTACAACAAAAAAATGGTCTCTGAACTGAAGAGACCACCCACAGAGTGGGAGAAAACATTTACCAGCTATGCATCAGAGAAAAGACTGATACCAGAATATACAGGGAGCTCAAAAAACTAAACTCTCCCAAAATCAATGAACCAATAAAGAAATGGGCACTGAACTAAACAGAACTTTTTCAAAAGAAGAAATTCAAATGGCCAAAAAACACATGAAAAACTTACCATCTCTGGCCATAAAGGAAATGCAAGTCAAAACCACACTAAGATTCCACCTCACCCCTGTTAGAATAGCTATCATCAAAAACACCACCAACAACAAATGTTGGCGAGGATGTGGGGAAAAAGGAACCCTCATATGCTGCTGGGGGAAATGCAAGCTAGTGCAACCACTCTGGAAAACAATATGGAGGCTTCTTAAAAAAACTAAACATAGATCTGCCATATGATCCAGCAATCCCTCTCCTAGGGATGTACCCAAAGGAATGTGACTCAGGTTACTCCAGAGGCACCTGCACACCCATGTTTATTGCAGTGCTATTCACAATAGCCAAGTTATGGAAACAGCCAAGATGCCCCACTACTGACGAATGGATTAAGAAAATGTGGTATTTATACACAGTGGAATTTTACTCAGCCATGAAGAAGAATGAACTCTTTTCATTCACAAGTAAATGGATGGAACTGGAGAACATCATTCTGAGCGAGGTTAGCCAGGCTCAGAAGACCAAAAATCATATGTTCTCCCTCATATGTGGACTTTAAATCTAGGGCAAATACAGCAATGTGGTTGGACTTGGGTCACATGACAAGGGGAAAGCACATACAGGACGAATGGGGATAGGTAGGAAACCCAAAACTTGAAAGTGTTTGATGTGCCCAATGTAGAGGAGCTAATACAGTAACCTTAAGCAACAGAGGTCAATATGGGAAGGTGACCAGGAAGTAGTGAAGAGGTTGGGTAGAGATGAATCAATTCAGGTTGTAATACTCTTGTGCATGGAAGCAATGCTAGGAATCTCTCTGTATAGCTATCTTTACCTGAACTAGCAAAAACGCTTTGTCTTTCTTATTATTGCTTATGTCTTCTTTTCAACAAATTGGAGAAAAGGGCAGAACAGGTTCTGCCTGGAAGCGAGGTGGTTGGGGGTGGGGGCAGGGAGGAAGAAATGACCCAAACAATGTATGTACCTATGAATATATGAATAAAGAAAAAAAAGAAAATGAACGGAATCCGAATCTGAAACCATCTGTAGATGTCATGATCTTGAATAAAGAAAATTATAAAGAATCCATTAAAAACTACTAAAACTGTAAATTATTCAAGTGTGTATAAAACATCAATTACATTTTATATACTTGCAATGAATAACCTGAAAGTGATATCAAATAATTTCATTTATAATAACATTAAAATAATAAAATAATTAACACTTTAATAAGAATATAATAACAAAGGAACCACTAACCTAATATTTTGAAAACTATAAACATTATCAAAGGAATTAAATACCTAAATATATGAAAAGACATCCCACCCGTGTTTAACAATTCAGTACTTCCCAAAATGATGTACAGATTCAATGCAGTCCTTAAAGTTTTTTGAAGTAGGTTTTTTGAAGAAATTAACAAGCTGAATTCATATGTGCATGCAAAGGACTCAGAACCACAAAAGCAGTCTTAAAAACAAAAAACAAAATAATTTACAGCTTCCAGTTTCTTACTACAAAGCAACAGTAAGCAAGACAGTGTGTACTGTTGACATAAGTTTAAATTGCTTGAATAGAATTGAGAGTCCAGAAATAAACCCTCACATTTATAGTCAATTCAGCTTTCACAAGGGTGCTAGGTCAATTCAGTGGGTAAAAATCATCTTTCCACAAACGATCCTAGAGAAGCTATAAAAGAATGAAGTTGAACTCTTCATCATACCACATACGAAAGTTAACTCCAAGTGGATCTGAGAAAAACTCTTAGAAGAAATACAGAAGCTGGGTGTGTTGGTGCCCAGCTGTAATCCCAAAACGCTGGAGATAAGCAAGACAATTTTAAGTTTGAGGCCAGCCTGGACTGTAGAGTGAGACTCTTTCTCAAAACAAACAAACAAAAAAAAAACCTTCATGACATTAGGTTTGGCAAAGTCTTCTTAAGACAAGTGACAAAAAAAAAATGGATCAATTGACCTTTGTCAAAATTTAAAACCTTTGTGCTTCAAAGGCTACCATCAAAAAAGTGAAGAGGTAACTCATAAAATAGGAGAAACAGTTGCAAATCATATATCTTAATAATTAAGGGATTTGTATCTAAAGAATGTAAAGAACTCTTACAAATCAATAATAGATATATCAAGTTGAAAATGTCTGAAGGCATTTCTCCAGAAAAGAAACATAATTAGCCAAATAAGTACTTAAAAAGATCTCAAACATCACGAGCCATGAGGGAAATGCAGTGAAATAGCACCTCCTGTCTACCACAGTGACTTCAATCACAAACACATTCGGTAACAGTGTTGGCAAGGATTTAGAGAAATTGTAACCCTCCTACACACTTGGTAGAAATGTAAAATGATATCGCTGCTTTGGAAAACAGTCTGGCAGTTCCTCAGAAGGTCAAAGAATAATCACTTGAGCAGCAATTCTACTGCAACATGAATATAACATGCATAATAGGTATGTGTGTAGTAGGAGTGAAAACATGCATCCATATAAAACTTGTACATTACTGTTTTAGCAGCATTAGTCATGACAGCCAAAAAATAGAAATTTCCCAAATGTCCGTCCACTGATGAGTGGATAAAGAAAATGTAACATAGACATAGCTATATAGTGGAATATTATTGAGCATATAAAGTAATAAAATACTAATAACACATACTGTGTGACATGGATGAATCTTGAAAACATGCTAAGTAGAGCTCAGTCAAAAATGACCACTTTTTTATGCTTACTGATATGAATTGTCCAGAAGAGGCAAATTAATAGAGACAGAAAGGAGATTAGTGGTTGCCTAGGGCAGAGGGCTTTGGGAAAATTAGGAGTGATTGTTGGTGGATATGAGATTCAGGGGCATTTGATGAAAATGTCTTAAAATTGATTATGGTAATGATTATACAATTTTGAATATACTAAAATTATTGAGCTGAATGTATTATATGACTGAATTTTATGGTAAGGTAATCATATCTCAATAAAGCCTGTTTTTAAGGGCTGCAGCTGTATCTCAGTGTGGAAAGCACTTATCATGGATAAGGCCCCAGGTGATCTCTAGCTCAGCAACAAAGAAAGGGAGGGAGGGAAGGGAGAAGGAAGGAAAGTGTCTTAAAATTTAGATTTTTTTTGTATTTTAAATTTAAATTAAATCATTCTGAAGTCTGTTACAGTTGTCTGTTTGTACCTACCATGAAAAATATTCCCAAAATTCTTATTCTTTAAGCCCTTACTTTTTATAATTAAATTATATTAAATGTTGAAGATGGCTACCTTTGTAGATTGTCTTAATGTATTTTTCATTTGTCACATTTAACTACATTTCAGGCTTTTTTTGATCAATTTTCTAACATATCTATGCCTTATAAATAATTTATAATTTCATAATTTTGTAAATAATTTATTATTTTCATCCACCATTAAAATGATGGAGGTAAATATTGATTTATGAAATCAAAGTATGCTTTTAATGAAACTCACTGAGAAGAAATGTAATGTTAATGGAATATTCATTACTCATCAAGTGTTGACTATTATCCTGTCCATTCCCCCCACCAATTCCATGTGCACATACTGTATACTATCTGAACAAAGAATTCGGACCACAAATCATACTTAACCCTGCTTTATCTCACAGACTTCTCATATGAGAATATTTAAAATTCAGTTTTTAACTGTGGCTTATTTTGTTAGAATAATATCTAAAATAGGCCAGTAGTCCCAAAACAATTGATTGACTTTGGGCTATAGTCTTTAACCTTGTGTCCTCTTTGTCCTAGTAAACTGGTGAGGAGAATTTTTAAAAAGTTGCCATTCTGTGTGTTTGGGAATACTTTTCTACCAGTCTCTTTCTACCCCCTGCACCATACACACAATCATTTAGAACATTTAATGAGGAAATTTGAAAAACTCCTCACATGGAAACTATAGGACTCCCCCTATAATTTGTCCATCATCCAAAACAGTGCCAAGAGTGTTAATAAAATGTGTGGCTTCTAAGTCTTTCACCTTCTGTCTTCATTTGTTTTTATTTTTGGATTGTTGTTAGCTCACAGTGTCCTTGTGTTTTCCAAGTGTTAGTACTTTTGAAAGTGTTTTGAAGCCAGACAGGATGGCACATGTCTGTAATCCCAGCACTCAGAAGACTGAGGCAAGAGTTTGATGTTGAGTTTAAGGCCAACCTAGGCTACATAGCAAGACCCAAACTCAGAAAACAAGAGTTTTGAAGTGTGTATGGTCAGAGTTAAACTGAACTATAAATTTAAATGATAATTTTTGGAGCCTCCATACATAGAAATCTAGATGTGTAGATTATTTTCTTATTTCTACCCTTCATATGCATGATCATATATTTTCAGCTGTTTTACTGTAGTCTATCATTTTCCCAAGGTAAAATAAGGCATGTTACTGTGTTTAAGAACATTTTTTTCCCCTTGTCTTCCCCAGAAGCACTGAGTTGAATAAATAAGCTCATCCAAAAGAATCAAGTACTTTGGGATTTTGCTTAAATTTTCCAATCAATATTAAACGTAGTTGTACATTATATAGTACAAGAGACTTGGAGCAAAAATCAAAGTACCAATATTTAGAGGAGCCTAATGGATGACAAATTAAGATTAGGTTTTGTCTCTTCATGTCTTTCATTTCCTAATAGATGTAACATGATAAAGTCTATTTCAAAGGCCTTATTATGTGAGATCCTTATTCTCAAATGTGAAAAACTTAAAAATCTATTCCATTACCCCTGTATCATTTTGGAAAGAATTTGAGATGTCTATTTTTGGAAATAGTAAGTGCAACTAAAGAGGTACATTCCTATATTTCTAGAGCTTTTTTTTCCCCAAAGATTATTTCATGTTGCTTTTCATCTTCTACTGACTTTTCAGTATACAAATTAGCCAACATTTAGCATTTGAGGACCCGTTATTATAGTTACACACATTCTCTTACATAGATGTCTTTGAATTTCTAACTTGATAATTTGTAATAAAGCAATAATCTTGGCAAGAGTGGTAGAAAAAAAATGATAGAAAAGGGTTTTAGTCTTATAAAGAAAACCGGCTTTTTAAAAGCTTTAAAGTTTGGATATTTTCAGAAGCTATCAACACAAGATAGTTTATACTCTGTCACAGTCAAAAATTTTCTCATCCATTTTGTCATACCCCTCTCCCCAATTTCCAACTAACCGTAGATTTATTTTCTGTCACTGTAGATTAGTTTACATTTTCTAGAATTTAATACAAGTGGATTTATAGGGTATGAGGTTTTGTGGGAAGCTGGCTTTTTAAAATTATAAATTTATCATTGTATGTATCAGTATTGATTTCTTCTCATTTCTGAATAGTGTTCTATTGATATCACAGTCTGTTTATCCATCCCTTGGTGGAAATTTGGGTTATTTACAGTTTGGAGTATTACAAATAAAGCTGCTGTGAACTTTCATATACAGCAAGCCTTTGCATGAGTATATGTTTTCTTTCTTTTGGCTAAATACTTGGGAGTAGAATGGCTTTGAGTCATATGGTAGATGTATGTTTTAACTTTAAAAAAACTTCCAGACTCTTTTTCAATAGCCATAAATAAGAGTCCAGTTTTCCACATCTCTACCAGCAGTTGGTATGGTCGGTCTTTTTAAATTTCAGACATTTTAGGGCTGAGAACATGTCTCAAGTGGTAGAGTACTTGCCTCGCAAATGCAAGATCCTAAGTTCAGACTCTAGTACTCCCCCCCAAAATTTTTTTCAGACACCTTGATATGCTGTGCTATCTCCTTGTGTTTTAAAATTGCATTTCCCTAGTAACTAATGATATTAAATATCTTTTCATATACTTATTTGCCATCTGTATCTCTTCTTTAAATTAATTTTTCTGTGTATGTAAGGGTAGGGGTGTGTGTGTGTGTGTGTGTGTGTGTGTGTGTTGCTGGGGGTAGAATTCAGGACTTTAAGCCTGCTAGGCAAGTGTTCTGCCACTGAACTACATCCCTATTCCCCAGCATTTTTTTTATTGGTGTTTATTTACTCAGTTTATTGCTGCATTTTGAGTTTACTTGGCATATTATGAACACAAAGGTTTAATTAATATATACCATGAAAAGATTTTTTTGCCAGTCTGTGGCTTATCCATTCATTTACTTAGCAACATCTTCAAGAGAAGAAATTTCAAATTTTGATGAAGTAATTTTCATCTTTTTTTTTTCTTTTACAGATTGTACTGTTGCTCTCGTATCTACACAGGTTTTTAAGTCAAAAGTGTAAACGATTTCATTTATAAGGGCTCTATTGGGATGATTTATTAGCTGTAGAATAAGATGATTATTCTCGTTTGTATCTCATGAGTTTTAAGATCTTTAATTCAAAGGCTAACCATAAAAGCTCTTTAATGTGTTCATTGGTCATAGAGTTAAATTTGATTGTTTATTTTTAATTTCTCTATTCACTTATTGTACCGTTTATCTTTAGATATTTTTTTAATTCTAGATTTCTTAAAATGTAAGGTAGTTCTTGCCCTAATTAGGTCCTGCTCTTTAAGCTGTCAGAGTGTTTTGTTAAAATATTACTCCTCCTACCACTTGATTCACTTGGGTGCAGCACAGCAAATAGGTTTCAGGAAATTCAAATCTAGAAAAAAAGGACTTAAGTTTGTGTGCTGCTGCCTCAAAGCTTTTCTCATAGAGCATGGATAGGACTTTCTTAAATGTTTTGGTCCACAGGAAAATAATTATAATCCAAAAACCTGTTCTGATTTGCTAGCTTTATAAACATTTTATAATCTTAAATTGTGATAAAGAATTATTTCTTCATTTGAGAAATTTTCAGTGAATAACTTTCTTTTTCAGTATTTCCACATGTAACACCAAAAGGAATTAATGGTATAGACTTTAAAGGGGAAGCAATAACTTTTAAAGCAACTACTGCTGGGATCCTTGCTACACTTTCTCATTGTATTGAACTAATGGTAAAACGGGAGGACAGCTGGCAAAAAAGGCTGGACAAGGTAAGACTAGTTTTCTTCCTTTTAAAAAAATCAGATTTTAAGTTTTACATGTTTATTGAACATTAAAAACAAACAAGTTCTTAGGAAAAGCCTACTTAGTTAATAGAATAACAGGTGGTAGTACTTCTCTGACACTTCATATGAACCTTAAGCTCATTTTCCTAACATGGTTCATCAGTGATTTATTCAGTTATATGCAATATACTTTCTTGATTCTATTTAATAAAAAATTGTGGTATTAGTCATGGTTTCATGGAAGTAATGATCCATTTAGCATTACTCACTTTCAGTTTGTGATGCATGAAACTGTATTTTAAGTTAGATGAACTAACTTAAATATCAATTTATAAAGTTAAACATTTACCTATTACCTTCATAGCCATGTATTTTTCCATCGTCATTCAGTATCATTTAACATACATTATGTTGTTTGAACATTTACCCTTTGTTCCCATTTTCCCACCTTTGTTTAATCAACAGTACTGATAATATCATTACAATATGAATCTCAAGCTTTTAGTGTGAAGTTTGGCTCACTGAATTTGCTTAGTATGAAAACTTCTGTTTATAGTTCAACTTTAGTAAAATAATAAAATCCTGGAACTGAAACATACCTTTTTAAATCTAGTTCTAGTCTAACACTATCATTTTATGGAAGAGAAGAGTTCATCTGGTTAAATATAACAGGGAGTACTTCTCTGACACTGTGGGAATCTTAAACTCATTTTCCTAACAAGATTCATTAGTGATTTATTCAATTATTATATAACATACTTTCTTAATTATACTTAATTTTTAAATTGTGATATTAGTAATGGGGGAACTGAGAGACTTGTCTAAAGGTGTTCAGTAACAGAATTAGAGGAATTTTTCTCTGTTCTGATTATATCACCATTGGATACTAGGTTAGGCATCAGTCAGAATCTTACCATTTTATCATTGAGTTTTATTGCTCACATTGTTTGAAGGTCTTTAAATTTGAGCAAGACACTAAGGAAAGCAGTGTCATATGATGTAATGACAGCATGGCCAAAGGACTTGAATAGCACTATATGTTTAAGAAGATTCCTATATTTTAGAAGAATTTTCAAGTGCAAGTGAGAGTAAGCCATATTAACTAACAATGTATACCCTTTATCTGCCAGGTGTATATGTTTCCAGATCCCCAGTGTATGCCCAAAATCACAGATAGTACCAAGCCCTATATATAATATAAGATTTTTCCTATACATTCATACCTGTGACAAAGTTTAATTTTTAAATTAGACACAGTAAGAGATTAACAGCAGTAACTTTTTATAAAACAGGGCAGTTATAGCAATGTACTCTAACAAAGTTATGTGAATGTACTCTCTCTCTCTCAAAATCTTACTGACTCACCCTTCCTATAGACTGTAAATAACTGAAGCTGTAGAAAATGAAACTGTAGGACTAGGTGCAATGGCTCATTTCTGTAATCCTAGCTACTCAGAAGGTAGAGATCAAGACGATCATGGTTTGAGGCCAGCCTAGGCAAAAAGTTAGCAAGATCCTCCATCTCAGTAAATAAGCCAGGCATGGTATATCTGTGATCCAGCTACACAAGAGGCCATAGGTCGGAGGACAGCTGTTCAGGCCACCAGACAAAAACACTAGACCACACTTGAAAAAGCAAAAAGGGTTGAGGGCATAGCTCATGTGGTACAGCACCTCTCTAGCAAGTGTAAGGCCCTAAGTTCAAACTCCTACCACCACCTCTCTAAGAACTTCCAAGTCTTGGTTTCTTGTTTTTTGTTTATATTGTTTTGGTTTTTTTTGTGGTGCTAGGACTCAAATCCATGGCCTTGCACCTGCTAAGAAAGTAGTCTGTCCTTGAGCTGCATCTATTGAGTGTGCAAATACTCATAAAGTTCCTGAGTACAGAAAGTTGTTTATCAATAAATATATCTTCTAGGTAATTGATAGAATTGGTAAAGAAAATACAATAACAACAATGTGGTTTCACTGATACCATTTCATTCCAAAAGTATTTTCTTGCCTTCTGTGAGCAGGAAATAGTCCCTCGAGGAGCTTAAAATCTAAGGAAGGCACTTAAATAGATGATAATAATAACAGCTATTTAATAGTAGGATTATTTACATTATATTTTTATGTAAATTTATAATGTCAGTTCAAGTATTCTTTCAGCTAATTGAAAATTAATATTATTTACTGGTGACTTTTATGGTTACCTGTAATAAAAATCCCTTCTTCTCTAGAAGTACAGTTAATTTTTAGCCAATCACATCCAAGGAGACAAAAATTCTAAGCTTAGACAATTTTAGTTAACCATGTTAATAGCAGAAAATCTGTTAATTGAAGATAAGTTTGCTTACCTTAATAGACTCAGAGTTACTAATTTCATGGGTTTTTTTTTTACTTTCTCCTAAGTCTGTTTAATATTGCTATGTTGTACATTTTTGTTTTAGTCTCTTTTTTTTTTTTCATTAAGAGACAGGATACATACAGTGAAATTTACCAAACTTAAGTATACCACTTAATATGTTTTTACATACCAGTATATCCCTGTAACCACACTCATCAGATAGATAACTTTTCTAGCACTCTAGACAATTCCTTCATTCTCCTTCTGATCGGTACCATACCACCACCCCAAGAGGTGACCATAGTTCTAGTTTATATAATCACAGGCCCATTTTCTTGACCATCATAAAAACATTTAAATACATAATATACCTATAAGATGATAGCTTCTGTGTAACATATAGCCTACAAAAAAGTGTTTTGGGGGGCAAAATAACACTATTTTACAGGAGTGATTTTTTTAGTTAAATTATAAAATTCATTTCATTATAATTAAATGCCTGCTTCAAATGAAAAGTTTCTCTGTCTCTCATAGGAAAATGAAAAGAGAAGAAGAATAGAGGAAGCATATAAGAATGCAATGACAGAACTTAAGAAAAAATCCCACTTTGGAGGACCAGATTATGAAGTATGACTTATATTTTGATCTTAGTAGAAAAAACACATGGGTTATATCTATCCCCAAAGTGATTTTGATTTAATACTTTATTTTTAAATAGTCTAAATATTATATAATTTGTTCCCCAATGTTAATATATATAAATGTCAATCTTTGTCTGAAATAGATACATTTCACTGCCTGCAAAATTTAATACAGGCTTTAAAGGCTCAGTTTTAGACCTGTTCACCTTATAGAACAAGTTTTTATCTCTCCTGTGTGGATGATTAATTTTAGTGTTACCTACTTACTCATTTTAAAGAACAAAAGCAACCTGTGAAGGAAAAAGCCGAGTATTTTGCTGACAAAAGATTTAGTCTATACTATACTGCAAGATCTAACCCATAGCAATACCTACTGTAGCATATGTTACTCATCTTGTTGGTGATATTACCTAGTGCACTGACTAGTTTAGTGTATTGAGTCAATTTTTAACTTTCCCCTAGAGTTAATAACAGGGTTATCAATATATTACCTTTCCTTAAATCAACTGATTTGTTTGGTTTTGGTTTTGTTGTTGTTATTTTTCCTGTATGTTTAACTAGGAAGGCCCAAATAGTCTGATTAATGAAGAAGAATTCTTTGATGCTGTTGAAGCTGCTCTTGACAGACAAGATAAAATAGAAGAACAGGTATATCTTATTTAAAATTCTAAACTGAAATTCACTCCTGGATGTATGTTATTTCATATTGATAAATTTTGAAAGCTGTGAACAATAACATAAAAATTAACTATATAGGGTTTATAGAATGGCTGAAGTGCTAAAGCACCTGCCTAGCAAGTGGGAGGCCCTGAGTTCAAACCTCAGTATCACCAAAAAAAAAATGTACCTTGAATCATAAGTGAGAAGAATCTTTTAAGTTAGTTCCTCTACATATTAATTTCTAAGCAAAAAAAAAAAAAAAGACCAATATTTGTTCAAAGAAGTTTGCATAATTAGCATGGACTTAAATGGAAATGTTCTTCCTATTGCCCTTGAAGTATCAAACTTTAACTCTTCTTTAACCATCATAATAGTTGTATTTTAGTCTGGGTAAAAGGTTATCAAAAATTTAAGATTTTTTTTTCTGTTAGGACCATCCAATTTTTATTAATTTATTGCCTTTACTACCTTTACCTTCAGTTTTTTTCCTCACTTTTACTCTAATGTTTTGTAGTCATCATTGGATTCACAGCATTTATATACAGCTCCTTCTGTGGAAACTGAAGGAAGTATTTCTTAAATCTCTAAACTAGTTTCAAGGCAAAAATTCAGTCCCTTGCCTTCTGATTCTGTAGCAGTGCAGTTATCACATTTTACCACTAGATAGTGCTGGAGGATAGATTTTTTTACTCCCTCCTCCCCTCTCCTCCTCCTCCTCCTCAAGTTATACTATTTGAGGTAGAAATTGCCTGTTGGGCAAATATGAATGAACTGTGGCCATGAACTATCTTGGAAATAATCATTTGTATTTCAGTTTTATACTACAAATGAAATGTTCATTCCCTGTCATTACTAAGGCAATCATGGTTATTATGCCCATTTAAGAGTAAATCATCTGCAATAAATCACCTGTTTACTTCTAACTTATTTTTCTTTATATTTTTCTAAGGCAGTGATAAAAAAGTTCATGTCACAGTTTGTAAAGCTTATTGTTCATTTTTTTTTACTCAGAAGGTGCTCCTTGAAAGTGGGAATTTTCAGTTCCTGAATGGGCTATACTTTTGGAAGCCTAGAATATGATCTCAAGTAGCATCATTTCATTGTTTTCCAGAATGGGATGTTTTGTTTGGTAGGGACTGGCATTTGAGCTCAGGGGTTCACACTTGCAAAGCAGCACTCTACTGTTTGACCCACATCTCTAGTCCTAGAATATGTTTTAGGAAGAACAGTGAACTGTTGAGTCAAGACACCTTAGTTTTATTTTTAGTTTTATCACTAGCTTTTCTCTGGGCCTTGTTTTCGAAATCTCTGAAACAAGGAGCTTGACAGGATAATATAAAGCATCTCTTTTGGATTAGGGATGTTGTTGTTGCTAGAGCTTTCTCACCTAGCATTGTGAGGACCTGGGTTCCATCCTCAGCATGGGGGAGGTGGGTGATGCAAAATAAAACATCCCTTCTTCCTCTAAAATACTATTCTACAAATATCAGTATAGTGGTTAAATTGGGTTTAAGAGGGTCAACAATGAAAACTCTTACAAGCTTTTGGAAAAGACATTTTCATAAAACAATTTAATTTCAGTCTGTTAACACTCTGGCAACTGCTCTACAAAACAGTCATCATACAACCCCTGATTTTCCTTGTCTAATAACCGTACACATCAATATGACAAAAATAGTGACAGTATGTTAATGTTATAGAGTAGTAAACTTCAGTAGTCCATAAAATCAGTTCTACAGGTTCTGATCAGCAATAAAGCCACTGCATACCTGTTGTCCAAATGACACTCATATCACATTTTTAATTTATATAATTTGCAAACATACAGAAAGATGTATGCAATAAATTGGTGAATGAGAAATGAGATATTAGCAGTTGTATTCAGACAGTGTTGAGTAGAAATTACCCGTTGTCTTCTGTATAGTTAGAAGATGACCACACATAACACAGCAGTTTTTTTTATTACTGTTTTATTATTCATATGTGCATACAAGGCTTGGGTCATTTCTCCCCCCTGCCCCCACCCCCTCCCTTACCACCCACTCCGCCCCCTCCCTCTACCCTCCACCCCCTCAATACCCGGCAGAAACTATTTTGCCCTTATCTCTAATTTTGTTGAAGAGAGAGTATAAGCAATAATAGGAAGGAACAAGGGTTTTTGCTGGTTGAGATAAGGATAGCTATACAGGGAGTTGACTCATTAATTTCCTGTGCGTGTGTGTTACCTTCTAGGTTAATTCTTTTTGATTTAACCTTTTCTCTAGTTCCTGGTCCCCTTTTCCTATTGGCCTCAGTTGCTTTTAAGGTATCTGCTTTAGTTTCTCTGTGTTAAGGACAACAAATGCTAGCTAATTTTTTTAGGTGTCTTACCTATCCTCACCGTTCCCTTGTGTGCTCTCGCTTTTATCATGTGCTCATAGTCCAGTCCCCTTGTTGTGTTTGCCTTTGATCTAATGTCCACATATGAGGGAGAACATACAATTTTTGGTCTTTTGGGCCAGGCTAACCTCACTCAGAATTATGTTCTCCAATTCCATCCATTTACCAGCAAATGATAACATTTCGTTCTTCATGGCTGCATAAAATTCCATTGTGTATAGATACCACATTTTCTTAATCCATTTGTCAGTCGTGGGGCATCTTGGCTGTTTCCATAACTTGGCTATTGTGAATAGTGCTGCAATAAACATGGGTGTACAGGTGCCTCTGGAGTAACCTGTGTCACAGTCTTTTGGATATATCCCCAAGAACATAGCATTTTTTGATACATTATTTTTAGTTAGATAATTGTTGAATAAATGAGAAGAAACTAGACAAGCTGAAGAGGAGAATGGGGGTCAATGTCAGGTTAACAGGAGTTAGATGAGATAAAGGCTCAATACCATGGAAAAGAGGCAGTGACACATACATGATATGATTTTAAGAACATATCTGAAAGAAATAATGTGGTTCTAATGACACATAAACTTGTGGGTAAGACCTGCAGACCCTTGATGTAATAAAATGATTGGAATGATCTGGCCAGAGTTTAAACAGAAGAAAGCTGGCAGCAGTGTTAAGATTGACTCATGATAAGTGGTGCTATGCAGGTAGTGAGCGAAAGGGTTTGACTAGGAGCAAAAGTCAAAGAACTTACCCTAATCTAATATAGTATCTACAGAATCTGAAAGAAGAAACTGAATTGGGATATTTGAGGTGTCAGGATAAGCAAGGCTTCTATCTGGAATAGTTTCATAATTCAAATATTTAGAGATACTAAAGTGTTTACTAATTAAATGTTGGTAGTTAAGGTTACAGTATCCATTCTTGAGTTTCAAGATACACTTTAAAATCATTTCATCTTAACAATATCTGACTTTTTTTAGTCACAGAGTGAAAAAGTCCGGTTACATTGGCCTACATCCTTGCCATCTGGAGATGCCTTTTCTTCTGTGGGGACTCATAGATTTGTCCAAAAGGTAAGCTAGTGTCAGAGTTTACTACAAGTATACCTGTATTCTTCACTGTTGGTAGAGCTATCCTGTAGTGTAAATTTTCTTACTTTTCATGAATTTAGGTAGTGAGGGTTTTTTTAATGTGGTATTCCATATATATTCTTCAAAACAGTTCATAAATCTTGTCTGAACATAATGTTCTCTTTTATTTAAGGGCAAAATGGGCAGGGGGCTTCTATTCCAAAATAGCTAACCAGAATAACCAGTTACATTAAATGCTTTCTTTTGGGTTAAGTGGTGTTATTTTATATTATTAGAAGCACTACATACTTGTTGGAATGATTTCGGAGCATAATACATAATAGGTGCATGAAGTCAGCACTTGCTGCTGTGCTTGTTTCATATAGTGCTTTGTTTTCTCTTTCTTTATCTTGTGTTTGGAAGTTGGTACTGAATGCTCTGTTGTGCCTTTGTTCTGATTACTTGGTTTTTTCTTTGTCTGTCTCTGGTAGCCCTATAGTCGCTCTTCCTCCATGTCTTCCATTGATCTAGTCAGTGCCTCTGATGATGTTCACAGATTCAGCTCCCAGGTACTGTATGAATGTATAGAGTGGACTTCAGTCTTTTGTGCTATATTTCAGCCTGCTTGCCCAGTTCTTAGAAATTTTTTGGTCAGGCTACTTGCTTGGGTTTGAATTTTAAATAGTAACAATTAGCATTACAAAATGCCTTCTTTATTTACTAATTAGTTCCTTTATAAGGCTTGCATGTGCCCTTCATTTTGTAGCCTGTACTGTGTGTGAATAGCTTGGAATTTTTATAGGAGGTACTCAAGAAAAATTTTCAAACTGAATTGAAACAAATAGAAGTTCCCTGGATTTTATATATCATATAATATCCATCTCTTTCTTCAGACAGGATTCACCAGCGCTTTCATGGACATGACCCACAGGATATTACAACATAAAACTAGATTTACCAGTCTCACTTTGTATCTAATTTTAAATGTCTTAGTTATGTTCAGCTAGGAAATAACTTTTTAAATAATATCTCATTACCATTATAATACTAAGCTCCATTAAGCAGACTATATTTTATTTCTGCAGCTTGCCTGTGAATATTATTATATTCCTGTTTATATGCCAAATCTGTGGGAATTGACTTTAAATTTATTTAGCATCACTAAGGTTTTAGGAACTTAAAACACGAAGCTGGATGTATACTCTTCATCCTCAAAATAATATCAGATTACCAGATCAGGAATTTTTTTAGTGTCAACATTAGGGTTTTTTTTGTTGTTGCTGTTATTTTTTTTTCTTGTTTCTTTTTTGTGTTGCTGAGAATCAAACCCTTCTTGTGCATGTTAAACAAGCTCTCCACCACTGAGCTACATCCCTAGGCCTTTTTAAAAAAAACAAACAATCAAAAAAAAGTTTTTTAATCTTAATCTTCAAACCCTTGCCAGTTAGTTTTGTATTTTTATGGTGACTGCATTTTTTTTTTTATACTGTATTGTGTTATGTCAAGAACCTGAGCTATGTAGTCAAAATGACCCAGTTTAAATCCTGGTTAGCTGCATCATCTTGGGCAAGTTTTCTAACCTCTGTGTTTCATTTTTTGTGATTTGGCTAGACCCTGGAACATAGTAAGTGCTCAACAAGTGTAGCTTTTATTGTCATTATAATACAATTTCTTTGAGCTGATCAGTTATGTAAATCATTCCTTTACCAGAGTATTCCAATAGAAGTTTTAAAGGTCAATTTAAAGTTATCTCTTATTTTACATACACAAATTTACATTTGCCGCTTAAAAAAGCAAATGCGTTGAATATCATTGAGAAAATGGTTTAGTAACTCTTAATCAGAAATCACCCATAACCAAATATACTGCAGTGTTTCTTATTTCCTCATCCATTCATGCATGCCTTTTTAAAAATGGCTCATCATTTTCACAATGAATCAAAACTGAATAATACAAAAGGACTTTGGTTTATTCTGCTAAGCCCCACCTTTCATTAAAATAATATTGTCATAGAATAACTAAGACCAATCAGTACTGGTCACCATTTTCCCTTGAAATATAGGAGCACATGGACTATACATGAAAGAAAATATAATGAGAGTAAGGGAGAAGTGTAAGCCAGTGCTAAAAGATGCCTAAGAACTGGAGCTTTAGAACTCAGACCCTTGCTCTAGGTGTCAAGCCATAGAACAGCTTTAAAGCCTTTAAGTTCTCTATCACAGAAAATCAGGTGCCCATGTCTTTATAAGACTGTGCCAAATTACAGCTTGCTTCTTTACATAACATTTTGTGTAACTTGTATATATAAATTGAGAGAAAATAATTTTACTAGATTTTTTTTTCTAATATATGGTGCTTATAATTGATCGTCCTGTTCTAACTTTTCATTATTATACTGCTTTATATGCCAAAAGAGGTAAAAGTGAAGCAAATAGTATTGAACTCTAAGTATTTATTGTCCTTTCTATAAAGCAAGGACATTAGCAGTCTCAGGCTCTGACAGTTAACTGTTGACTGAATTGTACCTCATGTTCAGCATCACCCTTTGAATAAATAATTCTAAGTTGATAAGAATGCTTATTTCGGAGGAAACTGTGCTGCCTTGTCTCTCTTCTCAGAGGATCTGACAGATTGATTCTGTATAGTCACACCCAAGTGTAGCATTTTTATCTAGGCCTAGAATTATATATTAACTGAGAAACAGTGTTATCTGGGATGCAACCTTCTCTTCCACCTCACATCTAAATCATTCAATATGATGTTATTTGGAGAAGCTACTAATTGGGATTTTTCTAATATTGTTAGCACAAAAATTCAAAAGGAAAGTTGCCCTTTAATGGTACAATCAAAAGTCTAAAAGGTCTCAATTCTCTTTCTCTTACTCATGTAAAAGGAACACAATTATGTTTATTGTTATACAGTTAGGAAGCCATAGAGGGACTTACTGGATAAAATAATGTTAATGACAAATTAATAGTGTACTGTTAACCCAAAAGAAAAATGCCCAAAGATGTGAATAGTCAGTTGACTGAAGAAATATGCCTGTACTAAGAAGTAAAAATGCCTGTAGTCTATCAAATGGGCAAAAATTAGCTAATATTTAGTCAGTGTAGGAAAAAAAATGCTAGTATAAGCTGGTGTAACTTTTCTAATTAACAGTTTAGCAATAAGAATAAAAACAACTTGTTTTTTCCAACAATTCCACTTCTAGGAATATTTTCTAGAGAAATAATTGGATAAGTGTACAAAGTTGTATTATAAGGACACTGTATGTGCAAAGAAGTTAATTAACTGTAATAGAAAAACTGAAAATAAATGAAAACAAAAATATTTCATATTAGGTGAGTAGGTAAATCAAGCATAGGTGTCCATAAATACACAAAAAGATACCTAGATTTACTGGTGGGAAAATGAACCTAAAAGTAAGTTAAAATTCTAGACCTAGAATTAATATCAGCCAAGAAACAGTGTTATCTGGGAAACTCGTCCAATTCAACATGATGTGAAATTACACTAGTGACTAAATTAAGTTTGATGCATTTTACAGTCTCACATCCTGAAGAGACTTATGTATCAAGAGAAATAAGAGAAATAAGAAATAATGTTATTTATTGACATTAAAAACACGTACTGTCCCTCTTACCTTAAATGTATTTTTATCCATTTTTCATAGTTTATTGGTACATTGTGTGGGTTCATTTTTAGTTCTTAGTCCAGAAAAATCAAGGTCATGATTTCTGAAATTATGCTTACCCTAATTAAAACTTGAGAACACTGTTCATCTGCTTTAGTGATTTTGTTTTGATTTTTTTAAGTGCTAAGTATTTGTTACTAGTAACAATATTTCCTGAAATACCAATTTTGAGCCTAATAAAATGGCTTTGGCTTATGTTAATTCTTGTCATCAAACTTAATGGCCCCTTATTTACCACATCGTTTTATCATACCTACACAGTAAACTGAGCAGATAATTAAATTCCAAAGTATCAGAGATGGTTACAGGTGCTTCTTAGTAATATTAGCTACTTTATATCTATTGCAGTGAATATAAAATCCACTGTACTTGTAATCTCCTTTTCTCTTAACCTCAATGTTATTAAGTCAAGGAAGATAACAATGAATGAAAATCCCATGATGAGAGAATTGCAATATTTTATTTAGTTCCTTTAATTTCCTAGGAGCACAGCACTGGATACATATTTTATCTTTATTGAACTTTTCAAGCCCTCTTTAGTTCAAGAATTAAAACAAAAAAACTTCTAAACTACTTTTTCCATGGATATAACAGCAGTAACTGTTACAGGAATACCATTTTTTAAATCTATCCAGAAAGTCAATGTTGAACATGCTTTTTCTGTACATTGTTAAATCTGTGTTACCTGTTACCAGTTTGTATTTATGGGATCTGGTTTCATTCCCACCAAAATACAAATTAAAAAATACCATATTTCATAAACATTTGAAATAACCTAGTTCAGGAATAATCTCCCAAATAAAAATAGAGTTACCTACATAGTTTATGACAAAAGAAGGTAAAAATCTTTTAAACTGTACTCTTAGGTTTAACAATAAAATTTTCTTCACATTCTTCCATAACTGGTAAGCTACTTAAAGTAGGATTTATTTCTGGGAAGCATTTATTGCTACCTCTTATCTCATAGTAAACACATGTGTTCTAAACTCCTAGTTTCTCACCTAAACCATATACTCAAATCTAAAGGTTTTTAAGATCTTTCAGGGTCTAAAGGAGGTAAAGATTTCTTCCAATCACAATTAACAAGCAAATGAATCAAGACATTTTATTTTACTTTATTTAATTTTATTTTTTATGCATACCAAGTTAGAACTTTTCTTATCCTTCTTTTTAAAACTAGATACATTTATATTACTTGTAACTTGGAATACTGCATTAATCCCCCTTGCCCTCAAAGCAGATTTCAAAGTTTACAGGCACACAGTTTTCTATAGGTGGCACCTGCAATTATGTTTTCTAATTAAGGCTTTGTAAAATTATAGAATAAACTATTAGTTTCTCTGAGCTCTGAAACTTGTCACATTGTCTTCAGAATTAGGAATAAAGGGATAAAATATACTGGTGTTTATTTATTACAAAAATAGATAATAGACTCTCAGCATTAACTTTTTAATCAAAAAGTTGCCAAATCAGGAGATGCTTAAAACTGTACCTGCTTCCGTAACCAAAAATGCATTCTGAGATCCAGAAAATAGGATGTAGCAGAAGTATGCATCACTATAACATATTGATAACATCCTTTAAGTACAGAAAAATTAACGTGATCAGGGCTAATAATTTTAAGAGTTTGTGCTTCAAACTCATGAATATATTTATTTCAAATATGTTTAAACTAGATGCTTGTTAGTATAAATTCTAATGAACACAATAGACTTTATTTGAAATAGGTAAACTTAGGAATAGATTTTTTAATATAAGTACAATATACATATATTCCAGTTCTTTGCTGCCCTCTGTAATGTACATATTACTAAAATTATTTGCTGGCATAATCTTTTTATTATTTCTATTTAAAAGCATTCCAAACTAGGAGACTTCACAAAGAAAACTTCATGACAATATACCAATAAATGTGATTTAGAACTCTGGGAATGTGAAATATGTATTCAGTTTTCTTGCTTACTTAAGATGTGTAAGAGAATATAAACAAAAAATGAAAACAAACAAAAGAAAGATGGGCAATTTGTGATAATGAAAAGCTGAAATTACATTTAAATTTCAGTAAAAGAAATTTAATGGGACTGGTGACTTTGCTCAATGGGTAGAGTGTTTGCCTACTATGTGCAAGGCCGAGGGTTCAACCACCAGTATCACAAAAGAAAAAGAAAAAAAAAAAAAAGATGAAGAAGAGAAAAAAAGGAAAGTTAAAAAAAACAAAAATTTTTTGGTTTGGACATTTTGAAAGAATGAACTAAAAAGTGATTATGGGTAAATGATAGCATATATGTATTAGCATTATCCATAAAAGTATTTAAAACAATGAAATTGGAATCAAGTAGAAGGAAGTTTGTTTTAAGTTGTTTTATACTCATGATAAAAGTGGGTATGGTGGAATAAAGGAAGATTTTTCACCTTAGGAGGGAAATCTTTGATAACAACAAGCTTTCCATTATCTCTATATAGTCGTAAATTTAGGAACACTGGACTAGATTATTTCTTTTTGGCCATTTTACCCTTAGTATTCTGATTTTATGCTTTAAGACATCATCTCTGTATTTTATAATAAAGAATGCAATATTTCATTTTTCCAGAAAAATGATTATTTAATCATTTCACTCACAGTAGATCTATCTGTGATACTTTAGTGAAGCATCTTCCTTCCCTGCATTTCTCCCTCCTACCATTAACCCGGACATCTGGAATGTGATCTAAACTCTTCAACACTGTCTAAAACCTACTAACTAACTTCAGCTTTCTAAGAGCACCATTTACTGAGTACCATTCTGTTTTACAGATTATGACATAGCTATTGGGTATGGAGTCTCATGGATTTATTTTTCTTTTCAAGGTTGAAGAGATGATGCAAAACCATATGACGTATTCATTACAGGATGTAGGCGGAGATGCCAATTGGCAATTAGTTGTAGAAGAAGGAGAAATGAAGGTAATTCCCACTGAAATGTTGCAGGTTGCAAATGCAGCTTTGTTACTATTGATATAAGGATCACTTTAAAATAATGTATTACATTTGATCAAAGAAACACGAGATGCCGAGAAATAAAATGTCTTTGCTTTCCTGGTTTCACTTTCACAAATTTTTTTATGATCATAATATAAATCTATAAACAAAATGTTCCATTTTTCCTAGGCCATGGAGAAAGTAAAATTGGGGTTTAGATCACAGGGCTGGCAGAATAGTCCAAGTGGTAGAGCTCTGGCAAGCAGGTGAGGCCCTGAGCCTGCAAGCCTGCAAGCATGAGGCCCTAAGTTCAAACCCCAGTACTGCCAGAAAAAAAAAAGATCGCAGTCAGCTAATGACCCTCTATTTGGATGTTTCTTTTTTTTCTTATACTTTATGATACTAAATGTTTTGCCCAGGTGTCACTTTGTCTCCCTTTTTGATTTATTCCTCACTTCCCTTCCTTTTTCTCGATGTACCTGGTTTCTCTTTTTTAAGAAAACTATTTGGACATTGGTCAGCTAATCTTGTTTGCATCCCTAAACACAAAATACAGATTATGAACAAAAAGTGGAGGTAGGGAGATAGATTGAAAAACAGCTGCAGCAGCATTGAATTTTGGATTATTTCTCATGCTCAAACACTATACTAAAGATACAGAGATACCTGATCAGATTCCCTCTATGCCAAAGTTATAGTTGGGGAAAGAAGATACTGCAGTTTTGTTTTGTTTTTCTTGGTGGTACTGGGGTTTGAACTCAGGGCATCATGCTTGCTAGGCAAGTGCTGTACTGCTTGAGCCACTCTGTCAGCTCTGTTTTGTGCTAGATATTTTCAAAATAGAGTCTTGAGAACTGTTCGCCTGGGCTGGCTTGGAATCTTTATCCTCCTGATCTCTGCCTCCTGCGTAGCTGGATTGTAGATGTGAGCCAATGACACTCAACTAGGATATTGACACTTAAGAAACATCCATCTGTTAATGTATTGATAATAAGTGGTAAAGAAAATGAGAAAAGTAAAAGTGCTGTGATTTGAAATGATTAGATTGTTTTATGGTAAGGAGAAGCATTTGAGCTATATCTGGAAATGAAAATAAGGTCATGATAAGGGTGAGGTTGAGGGGATTTTAGGCAAGAAATCATAGCAAAAAATCAAAAGCAAATTTTGTATGCAAGATTTTTGCACAGACAGCCAGGCATGATGACATAAACCTTCCTACATGCAAGAGGCTGAGGCAGGAAGATCACAAGTTTGAAGCTAGTGTAGGCTACACAGCAAGACCCTGTCTCAAAAAAACAAAAATATTTTTGCATAGATTGTTTAGCAGAATTCCTCCCCTTAGATAGGGAGCAAATGAAGAAATAAGAGTAGGCAGACAAATGAGATACCAAAATGTTAGCTAGAACTCTGATAAGCTGACTGTAGATAACATCTTTAGATCATTGCCACAAAGTCTTGCTAATATGTTACCCCAGAATTAAACACAATGCTCTTTTTTTTTAATAGGTTCACCTCCTTTATTTTTCTTTTTTTTTATTTCCTTTATTCGTATGTGCATACAATGATTGGGTCATTACTCCCCCCTTCCCCCCCCCCCGCCCCGTCGCTTACCCCTTACCCCCTTCTTCACGCCCTCACCACCTCACTTCCAAGCAGGAACTGTTTTGCCCTTATCTCTAACTTTGTTGAAGAGAGAGTATGAACATTAATAAGGAGGACCAGGGGTTTTTGCTAGTTGAGGTAAGGATAGCTATATAGGGGGATTCCTAGTATTGCTTCCATGTACATATGTGACACAACACTTTTAACATAGCTGAATCTCCATGGCTCCAGGAGCTGACCAGGATACATGCTCTTTGCAAAAGAAGAAATTGAGTCAAGTTGTTTATTCTTCTGAATTCAGTATTCTAGTAAATCACTGTTGCTTCCTTAGGGAGGAAAGAAGTAAAAGATTTCTTTCCTCCTTAAAGAGTATTAGTCCAGATGAAGTCCCTCCACCTGGAATGAGGAGAGTAAATGCTCCTATAGCCCAGGACATTAGAGAGAGAGAAATTGGGGCTAGATTGCAGGAAGCATAAAGTAATCCACTGAGGAGACTAGTCGGTTGCCTTTAGCAGTAGGTATGCAGTGTGTCATTTTAGGAAGATTAAGCAGCTAGATAAGGAACTCTAGACCTAGAAGACCGCTTATGAGAGTTAGTCACAAAGTGATGAAGACCTACAATATATAAGACACAGTAAAAAAGTCAAGTTGTTTATATGCTAGAGAAAATTAGGAATAAGCTTAGTATAGTAGCCTTATCAACTCCCAGGGGGAGAAATCAAAAGTCTAGAGTTTTCAGTTTGGGTGATAAAGAAAATGGTGTTTCCAGTAACATGTGGAGAAGAGAGAAATTGTAAAAGAGAAACTATAAAATACCTTACAGTGTCTGTCCCCATCAGCACTACATAGAATGAGAGTTGTTTCCCTATAACATGTATCTTCACTTCTTGAAAGAACTAATCACAGAATTCTCTAAAGTAGCAAACTCCAATTTTGAAGTAATTGATTTTACTCAGCACTTAAGGTACACAGCCTCAATATTTAAATTAAAATAAATCTGTTTATAATCTTTTTTGCCATTTTAACTTTGCCATTTGTTTGATTAAGCAAATAATTGAGTGCCTACTGTGTTTCTAATACTGTTTTAAATGCTGGTTTACAGCATTTAATATCCTTAATATCCTTAATATCCTTAAGGAGATGTTCTAACCAGGCTTATTGACCCTCTTAGCTATGTTAAACAGTCTTTGAGAATGTTTGGTTAATAATGCTAATTTAAGTTAATGTGTTTATTTTTAATTCATAGCAAGTAGTCATTCATTGTTTATCCATGTTTTCCATAGTTGAAGATTATCTTGGATTTGTCACCTTAAATATTTTCTATTGTCTGTGGTTCTTTGAATTTTTTTCTTTTAGCAGAATATATTCTATAAATAAGATTTTCATAAATAAAAATCTAAACAGTTAATTTAAAAGAGTACTTTCAAGTTTGTGCTTCCAAGGGTTTGATTTTTATTTTTCAAGCAGCTTTTTAAATATGTCTTCTTTAGGTATACAGAAGAGAAGTAGAAGAAAATGGAATTGTTCTAGATCCTTTGAAAGCTACCCATGCAGTTAAAGGTGTTACAGGACATGAAGTCTGCAATTACTTCTGGAATGTTGACGTACGCAATGACTGGGAAAGTAAGCTGTCACTGTTAATATATTTTAATCCAATTATTGTTTTGAATTAAATACCAAATCCAACCTGATTTTTTGGTATGTGATGTATAGTTTACAGAATTAATGTAGAAAATACCTGGAGAGTCATACACAGAATTAATATACTTTACCTTTACCTTTATTTGTTGGGGTAGGAGATTTCCTGGGGATTAAATCCAGGCCCTCACACATGCCAGACAAGCACTCTACCACTGAACTGTATCCCCAACACCATACCTTACTTTTTTTTGAGGCAGGGTCTCACTGTGTAGTACAGGCTGACTTCGAACTCCTGATCTTCCTGCTTCGGCCTCTCTAGTGCTATGATTGATTACAGGTGTGTACCACCATGCCTGGCCGTACCTTACTTTTAAATAGATCTTTTCACTGTTCAGAATGCTTCCTAGGATATTGTGTCACTTGTTCCAACACTTTATTAATCCCTCATAATAGGTTAGGTGTTTTACATGCAAATAAAATTCAGATACATCAAGTAACTTGTCTAAGGCCACAGAGTAAATTAGTGGAAAAGCCAGGACTGAAAATAAAGATTTCTCTGTAATCGTCTACTCTTTCATAAACTTTTGTTTCCAGGGTAAAACCCTAGTTGAATGCTGCTGTGGTTAGTTAGAATTATTTTTAGTATGTAAGTGTTCCCATTAGACATCACATTTCATAAATGTAGATACTTGTCAATATCATGAGGTGTTTATCATTGGCAGTTTGATGTTTTTTGGGTTTTTTTTTTTTTCCCCACAAAAATAGTCATCTAAGCATAGATACACTTTAATTTCAGTAAGTTAGGGAAGAGAGACAGTCTAATGGTAGGGAATTATTTGAACGTGAGTAATACAGTAGTGTTTAGCATTGCTTTCTTGCTATGAAAGATACATACTTGGCCGAAGAAAATGAAGCTCCCTCATGATCAGACTTCACAGCCACCTACAGAATGAAAGCAAATATATAGCCCTAGTACTAAATATTAACCATTTTACATTTGGATTTAGCCTAGGTAGGGCAGGATCTTGTTCACTTTACCATAATGTCCATTTGTAATTGACTTCCTATATATGTAAATTAGTCACATTCTAGAAAATGCTATTGATCTTTTGGGCAACTAATACTATTCTATTCTTTTCAGCAACTATAGAAAACTTTCATGTGGTGGAAACATTAGCTGATAATGCAATCATCATTTATCAAACGCACAAGGTAAAGATCTCTTTCATCTACCCCAAGAAGTGTCAATTAATTCAAACTTAGACTTGTAAATTTTCTGAATCAATTTTTGGCAAGAATTTAAATGACTCTAAAGATGTAAAGTTTATTAATAATTTATAAATGTCACTTATTTGAAAAGCATATCATTCATTTAGAGCCAAAATGTATGCAGGCAAGAATCTGAGAAATATAATCTAGAAACAGTATTTGATAAAGATTTATACAGTAAATAGGCTTCTTTATTCATGGATTTATTGCATGCAGTTTTAACCAAAAAAACCTAGTAAGTAAGAAAAAAAAATTTTTTTAAATACAAATTTTGAATACTCATGTGAACTTTGCACAGCTCAGTTGATGTGGAGAAGCTCTCAGTCAGTCCCATATTCCTGTCAATTGTGTTTAAGTTGTGTGACCTGCTGAGTGTTTCTGTACCCTTAATTTTGTGAAAGTATGCCTCTTTTTAAAAAAGCAGGGTAAAGTTTAATATGCTTGATTAAAGTGGTCACGTTTCATTTGCTCAGACCTACTGTACGAACATAGGTAAATTTGAGTAATTTTAAAGCACTGAACTCTATGCATTCAATGTTTTTCCTTAGCAGTGGTCTCCTTGGAACTACCCTGTCTCCTTGAAACCATCCCACAGATACCAAGGCTGTACTGTAGTTAGTTTCTCTTTATACACATTGTAAGCGTAGAGAAGAGACATCTGAAATCCATTTAAGTACTTATCTAGCATCTAGTCTGTATAGCTAATAAATGATAGTTACCCAATATAAATGAATCTGTTTTCCTGTGCAACAATAATAGAGGTAAGGGAATGTATGGTGTTAGCCTGTGTTGAGACTGATAAATACGAAAGTGATCTAAGTGAATATCTGGAAGCAGGAAAGGTTTCAGCTACCAGAGCACACAGAAACCTAGTAATTTAAGTTGGTTCTAGACCCTTTCACCTCATTACACCTTCTGCTATTCAAGGTATTTAAAATTGCTACTTAATATTTCTCTTCCTTTATCCTGCTCCATTTCCCTTGTGAAAATTGCCAAATAATTTATATTATTATTGCCAAATAATCTATATTTTATATAGAATAATAAAGGGAATTAAAATTTTGGAAAGGTCCACCAAAAACAGTACTACTTGTTATATAAAACATACAGTTATTCAGTAAGCATTTCATCTTCCAATTCATTGTGAACTTTGCTTTTCTATTAAATTTTGTAGTTGAGTTGAATATATGAAAATAAAACTTGTTACAAATTTCCTGAACCCAGTCTTCTTATCTGAGACATCGTTATGTCTAATCGTTATGAACTGTGCTTTATTTTACCTGGTAGCTGCTCCAGAAATGTGAAACAATGGATATTCTGTTTCAGCATACAGGTTTGGGGGCCTAATGTAAAATCTAAAATTTACTAAATATTAAAATATCAATTAATTGCCCTATAATTTATAATTAAGATAAATGACCAGTAATTGAGAGTCAGAGGATCTTACTACCAAAAGATAGTTAATCCTGGGAAGCAATCTGCTAAAGGTATTCTGCGTGGTAAATAGTTGGAAGGGAGAGTCCTACAAGTTATATTAAAACTAGCTGGGCGCTAGTGGCTCACACCTATAATCCTAGCTACTTGGGAGGCTGAGATTGGGAGGATTGTGGTTCAAGGACAGCCTTTGAAAATCATTCATGAAACCCCATCTCCAAAATAACCAGAGCAAAATGATCTGGAAATATAGCCCAAGCTGTAAAACTCCTGCTTTGCAAGCACAAAGCCCTGAGTTCAAACTCCAGCCCCACCAAAAAAAAGTAAAAGTAAAAGGACCAAGGGATTTTTCAGTAAAAGAACAGACTATGAGCCAATGTACATGCCTCCTATGCCACAGAACTCATTTGCAGTTATTTGCAGTTCTTAGAATAAACACATTATCCTGGAATAATGTTTTTCAGCAACATCAACTAACACTATAAACCATCTTTCTCTTTAAATTTTGCTTCTTTTATAGTATGATTTGAAAGAAGTTTACATGCCTTCTAATATTTAAGTAATCCTTGTTTCTTATCCTTGTAGATTTTTGTTTATTAGATTTTGTTCTGGTTTTTGGTGGTACTGGAGTTTGAACTCAAGGCCTCAAGCACTGTTCCACTTGAGCCACACCTCCACCCTTTTTTGCTTTAGTTATTTTTCAGAAGCATTTTTTGCCTGGGACCAGAATGCCTCCTGAGTAGCTGGGATTACAGGCATGAGCCACCATGTCCTGCTTCATGTAGTTTTTTTGTTTGCTTTTGAGACAGCATCTGTCAGTGTTGCCCCTGACTGGGCTCAAGCTCCTGGGATCAAGCAACCCTCCTGCCTCATCTTCCTGAGTAGCTGTGACTACAGGCACATCTCCATGCCCAGCTTATTCACTAGTTGTAAAATAGTGTAGGGCAAGTATAGGTGAAGCCAGTAATAAACCATTCACGTGCTTCACCTACATTTTCCCCATGCTGCTTTCCTCAGTTTCACGAAATTTTGCATCTTTAAAAGATGAACCATTTCTCTTGGAAAACAATTTGTTTTGTATTGGCCATTTATTGCATTCAGTAGTCAGGGAAGACAATGCACAATAAGGGCAAAGTTCAGTTACATATATCAAATAAACACAGTAGAAGTAACTTAAACAGGATAAAAGTTTATTTTTCCATCAGTTAAAACTAAATAGTCCCAGTTATCTGGGACCTGAGCTCCATGTCATTCCCATAGCATATTTTTTTCCTTGCTCACTTAAAGTAGAAATATTTTATATAAATGACTTGAAATTCTTCCAAATGTGTCATATTGACGAAGTAGTCCTTTCCCCCTGTCATCTTTACTTGTTAAGTCTTGATTCTCTAAGCACATTACCAGGGGCTATAGGGAGGAGAGAATGGGTTGTTTTCTGGTTGGGGTAATAACACAGTTCAAAAATACATGGTTATATAACATTGTGAATGTTGTATACCACTGAGATGTACACTAAAAATTTGTTAAAATGGCAAATTTAGTACAATTAAAAGAGAAAAAATAAAATAGTTCTTTGATTGTGATGCAAAGCCATTAACTCAGTGTTCATATTTGTCCTTTGGCAGGGATTCTCTGGTGATTCCCATTTGAAATTTGACATTTACCTTCAGCCAAGTCACTTGGTTTTACATTTGTTTCTCTTTTAGTTTTACATGAAATCGGAATAAAAAGTAATTCAAATTTTCAAAACATCCTTTTATTCTTCACAGAGAGTATGGCCTGCTTCTCAAAGAGATGTATTATATCTTTCTGCTATTCGAAAGATACCAGCCTTGACTGAAAATGACCCTGAAACTTGGATAGTTTGTAATTTTTCTGTGGATCATGACAGTGCTCCTGTAAGTACAATGTATAAATGCGTATAATCCTGTAATACAACGCAGGGCAAAGGGTATAAGCACATACCAACAACACACGCACACAGATAATTGAGAATGCATCTTAGATTTTGTTTTGTGTTAGACTGGCTGCTTGGAGCAGCCTATGTATTGCCCGTAGACCACTGTCATAGCTATGAACATCCCAGTAGCACTGTTTTCTTTTCCTTCTCAGGATGATGCTAAAGCAGAACTGAATGAGTATTATGTGTAGGCTGCTTTCCACAGTTATTTCTTTAGCCATTGTCAGCTACGGCAAGCCTGTGATTTTTTTACCTTGATTTAGCTCCATTTATTAAGAAGAGGGAAAATTCTGGTCTATATTATCTTTTGGTGTTTATGAGATTTTTGTTGGATGTTTTGATAAGAGGTAGAGTTTTATTTAAACTAATGTAATAATAATAGGCCAGATGTTACAAAATTCTGAATGTTTACTATACTGGTGCTTTATTGGGGCTTTTTTGTTTGTTTGGTCAGCTGAACAATCGATGTGTCCGTGCCAAAATAAATATTGCTATGATTTGTCAAACCTTGGTAAGCCCGCCAGAAGGAAACCAGGAGATAAGCAGAGACAACATTCTATGCAAGATTACATATGTAGCTAATGGTATGTATTTTTTGTTTTTTTTCTTCTAATTGATAATGTGAGTTTCTTGATCATAATCTATGTAATAACTGCCAGTTTGAATAAATGCCTTTCTTTTAACTTTTTTTTTAAGTTCTTATCCTTTAGAATGCTTTTGGTTTTGGCAGCACTGGGATTTGAACTTAGGGCCTCATGCTTGCAAGGCAGGTACTCTATCACTTGAACCATCCTCCCCCCTCCAAGCCCTCACTCTAGATTACTAATTTTTAATTTACTAATTTTAATTTGGAGAGATACATATCACAATTATCTGGGAGACTTTGAAAACCCACTGTCTAAGTTTAAATTTGTATTTGTGTGTATCTCCTTGGTTTTAAGATCCCTTTTATTAGATCATATTTGTAATTAGGAACAGAAGCAACGGCAAGAAAAGAAATTAACCAGTCTTTTTCTTATTTGTCAGACTTTTGGTTTTCTGAATCACTACTTTCTTAGTCCTTATTACCTGCTAGTTTTATATTTATTTCACTTTGGGGCATGTTTAAAGAAACACTTCTACCTGAATAAGTTACTATTTACTTACAGTAGAGGGTAATGAACAAGTCTACTTAAAATGTTAGTATACTAATATTTGCATGTAGTTTAGGGAAAACTAAGAACATTTTAAGAAAATAGTAAGTTCTTTCTTATTTGCTGTCTGGTCATGTCTGATGGGTTGTGCTAAGGACTTGGGGCACAGCTCTAGTAGTAGAGTACTTGCCTAGACTGTGAGGCCAAGACCCTAACTTCAATCCCTGGTACAGCAAAAGAAAAAAAAAAAAAAACCTGCAACTTCAAGAGATGCTAGTTATTCCAACAAGAGGATTTTTTTTTTTAAGCAAAGGAATAAGTAAGTTCTTTACATGTATATGGAGAATTATATCTTAATATGATTTTAATTTTCTTTTATTTTGCAGTGAACCCTGGAGGATGGGCACCAGCCTCAGTGTTAAGGGCAGTGGCAAAGCGAGAGTATCCTAAATTTCTAAAACGTTTTACTTCTTATGTCCAAGAAAAAACTTCAGGAAAACCTATTTTATTTTAGTATTAACAGGTACTGGAAGAAGATATATTAACCTTATTTCACTAGTATGATTGCAGTTGTTAGAATTTAGTTAAGTCTTTGAAAGTAGGTTGCTGAAAGTGTTTTATTATTGCTCTCACAGTTATAGTTTGTAGCCTTTAAATTTTGTTTCATTGGTTTTTTTTTTCTATGAATGCTTATTTAAAAACATTTCAACATTATAGAACTGTAGAAGTTCAGTAGTGCAAACTCCCTATATTCTTTCCTTTCCTAGAAACTATTATTCTTGGTGTATGTTCTTCCAGTCTTTCTGTGCCATGTACTGACCTATTTTTGAGTGTTAAAAAAATAACATATATACATTGCTAGGTGTAGTGGCCCACTTGAGAGGCTGAGGCAGGACCCGGTCTCAAAAAAAGTTTGTTCTATATTTTTGTGGCTTTTGTCACTTAACAATAATCTTCACCTTTTTTTTTCTAACATCTGTTATACAAATGTTACAGAATTTATTGACAAGTCTCACAATGTCTGGGTTGGTTCTGTATTTTTGCTGTAAAATAATACTTTATTGAGCATCTTTATGCAAGGAGATAGGGTCTCTTTTTCTTTTTTCTTTCTTTTCTTTTTTAACACAGGATTTCATGCTTGCTAGGCAGGTACTCTACCACTTCACAACTCCCGTCATTTTTGCTTTAGCTTCTTTTTCAGGTAGTGTCTCATCCTTTTGCCTGGGTTAGCCTCAGACTGCAAGCCTCCTGGGTAACTGGGATTACAGTTGTGAACCACCATGCCTTGCTACAAATCTTGCAACAAATATATTAACATGTTTGAGAAGTGTGAAGTGACACTTTCTTCCCCCATTCATCTATTTTCCTACCCAGAAAAGATTGTTATAGAATTGTATAAGATATTAATAATATCAATATATATGCTGTTAGTAGTTTCTGTGTGTCTTCCTAGAGGTTTTTAATACCTGAACAAGCAAATACAAGCATGATCCCCCCTTACACTTGCACAGTGTCCAGTGTTAAAAGGCAGAATGTTGTATACTGTTCTGTATCCTGCATTTGCACTCATCTTATGTTGAAGTTCTTTCTGTATTGGTGAGGAGCTTCCTGCTGCTTCTCTTTATGTCTAGAGAATATCCATTATATGACTGTACATAATTTAACCAGTTCTGCATTTGGTAGGTACTAAAGTTGTTTCCCATGTTTACTAGAACAGTGTTAACGATTGTATCCATATGCCATTTTCCACTTGAAAGTTTCTATGTGGGATAAATGACTAGACACAGTACTGCTGGCCCTGCTTGCGGTTCATGCATTTGTAACTTAGATACTGCCCTCCATAGAGGTCATACAAGTTTATCATATCACCAGAAATAATGAATTGGTATGCCTAATTCCATATAGTTTCTCACATAATATATGAAAGAAAACTTTTCAATTTTTCCCAACTTGATAGTCAAAAAAAAAAATGACTCTGAATGTAGCTGTAACTGTATTTCTATTTTAAGTTTGAACATGTTTTCCTTCCATCCATTAAGTCTGATTTTTTTTTAATTTTTTTGGTTATAATGAGGTTTGAACTCAGGGCCTTGCACTTGCTAGGCAGGTTCTCTACCACTTGAGCTATACCCCCAGCTCCTTCTGCTTTCGTTATTTTTCAGATAGGGTTTAGCATTTTTGCCCAGGCCAGCCTCAGACCAAAATCCTCCAATCTCTGCCTCCCAGATAACCAGGATTACAAGCATGAGACATGTTCCTGGCCCCATTAAGTCTGATTTATAATGCTGATTATAGTATAACCTTCTTTAAAACACACATACACACGTGAAGGCTAAATTTATTTTCAGATACTAACACAAGAGTTACTCTATTCATGACTCAAATGTTTAGCTTCTCCCAAGAAGAATGTTACCTGAAAATTCAAACAGGTTCTGGTGTTATTTACCTGAATGGTTAATATTTTCTAATGCAGCCTAACCTTTCAGGGAATTTGTCTCTTCATGCATTAAATGTCTTGCTAAGTGAATTGACTATTTTTAGAATAAGAGTATTTTAGAACTGAGTTGGTATGTCTAGATCTGTACACACTATTTACTGATTCTCTCTGCCATAGTTACCAGATAAACAAGAAAATTTATCACTCATGACTGCAGCAGACTTGTCGCCTTACTTAGCTGTTCGTCTCTTGCCATGACCTGAAGATTTCTGTTTCACCCTAACCAAAACCAAGCATCTGCCTTTCCTCTTTTTCACTTTGACCTTGCCAATATGATCTTCGTCTTGATGTTTTAGGCTGAATTGCCTACCAAAGCGACTTGGATATTCCACTAAGAAAGGCAGAAATAAATCAGTACTGTTTTATGCAAAACATGCTTTCAATTATGTTTGAAAGAATAATTTTTTAGACATTTGAAATAAACATGCTAAGATATTAACAGCATTTGCTCTAGAATGTTAGATTTAGAACAGTGTTTTATTGACTCTGTGTACATTTTTCTTTTGTGGAAAGAGTTAATGAGGTGTCCAGTAAATGGTCAAAACTGTTTGGCAAGGGTCTTGAGCATGTTCACTTCTTAAATAAGACAGACTCATAGCTTGAGTAAAATTTTAAAATTCTTAAAAAGTGGTATTATATGGCATAATTCTTTTTGAAGGTTAAGAGGAAGAAAATGCCACTTTATGGGGTAAAAATCCAGAAACCTCTGGCTGATTTCCTATTTGCTTACTTATATAGCACATTGCTGTCTTCAATTTTTTCTAACTTTGAAAAGAATCCTTTCAATCTTGTGTTCCTTGCTGAGGGGATAAAAGCTTCAAATATAATAGGTTAATGATTTTATATTCTCAAGGATGAAATTCCTTTAAAGATAAATTTTAATAGAGAGTCTGCATTCCATGAATTGGAGGGTGGGAGAAATCTGTTCTGGTAATCTTGCAAACATTAGTAATAGACTGGTTTTTACGTCTCCTTTTCTTCTCTACAGTGACTGAAGCAAGGCTGTGTGACATTCCATTTTGGAGGAAAAAAAGAAAAAAATTTGAATGCTCTAAGCTGGAACATAGGATCTACAGCCTTGTCTGTGGCCTAAGACCTTGGCCTTGTGTACAAAAAAGAAGAAATATTGCAATAGTAAAGCTGAACATCTAACACTAGCTATCTCCTGCTAGATCTCCTTGCTCAGCATATAACTATAAATACATGTAATATTACATGTATATGGCTATATTTTTATTTGCTTGCTCCTAGAAGAGAAAAAAATCAACTTTCAATCATAACTAGGAATTGATGCTTTAATTATGGGGAACTTTTTCAGAATTTTTAATTTACATGGTCCAACCTAAGATCCTTGGTTGTATCAGATTTTGTGCACAAAAGAAGAGCACAAAAGTTGAATGCACATGGGGCGTGTGCTTTCTGTGCACCAGATATCTAAATGGGGTTCTTTTTTCAGGCCTACAGTCAAATCTGTGTCCAGAATTTTTTGACTTTTTTGCTTTGTATAATCATAGAATTCATTGCTGCTGATTTCTATAATGATTCTCACTGTCATGTTAAGTGTCTCTTAATAACTGAGGGCTGTCAATAACCTGTGATTTTCCCTTTTCTATAGTCTTACTCCCATGAAGAACTTGGTTCTGATGGAGAAAGAGTGAAAAGCTTTATTCCTCCCCCCACCAAAATACCTTTATATTTCTATTGTATTTTTTAGTTGTGTACTATGTGCTACAGATTTTTGAGTTTGTTACAAACACAATTTAGTAATTCCTAAATTGGTTCTGCCTGCCTCCAGACAGAAACATCTGTACAAATCTTGAGGGTAAATATAGACTACATTCTGGTATAGTAATCAGGCTAAAATGAATTTGTATTTTCCTGAAATTTGTTAGAGACTACATGGTATTGCTTGTTAAAACCAGTCAAACTGTTTGAATTTGACATTTGATTCAAGATTTCTAGTATTCAGTAACATATATGTTTGTTTTTCTAGTTGGGATCAGTTTAAAAGATAAGTTGCAAGATACACATCGAAAATCTGAGCAATGCTCCCATTTGCCTCTTGATCAGAAGCTTGAGCAGAACAGTAAAAGTTGCCACATGATCCAAATGGAAATGCTTCTTTTAGTTGCTATAAGAACTTAACATGTAAAATATCTTTTTTAGTTGTAGCTCTCTGTGAAAAACTTTGAAGCATGGAGTTGAGGCAAGGAATGGTACTCACTGAAGTCAAATGACTGCCCACTTCAAAACCTTCATTGTGTTTACATGCAGATGTATTTATATAATTCAGAGGCATTTTGTAGATGCTTTGCTGACTTGTTCATCTCTTTAGAAACAGAAATCAAACCCATTTTGTAAAGCAGAAAGTCCTGTCATGTAAAACATGTCCTGTATATATATTCCATACATGATAATGGAGTCTTAATGATAAATGCAAGGTGATAATTTAATGATGGGATTAGTCTGATTGATTAATATGCACAATCCTGGAAGTGAATTACTTGCATTGGACATAATGATATTTATTATTCTGTACAGAGAGAAAATACATATAAAACATATACTTACATTACATGCACGCAGTTTCATGCTCCATAAATCTTTTCTATATTTTAATTTACCTTTCTCTAAATGATGTGCATGGAATATGCCTTATTTCAGAAAAATGCTGTTCATAATTTGAATACGTGGAAAAGTGCCTATATGGTGGTAATGCTAGTAAGGCAAACAAGACAAATTATCACACCCGTTTACTACATCAACAGTTAGCATTTTATATTGTGGTGTTTAAAAAAGAAGTTTATACCTCAGATCTGTATTTTATTTTACAATCAGCTGTGGGGTTTGGGATGGGAGAATGGGAGGGCTTGGGAGGGAAGTTTGATTTACCATAGGCACTGATGGGAATCTTCAAAATAACTCTCAATGCCCACTATAAATGTTTCTCTGATTGCCATTTCTGGTAATTGTCATGAATCCAGACAAGTAACTCTTTCATAACTAAATTGGATAGCTTTATTTTACAAAGGTATGGAAAGTTTACAAAGCAGTATCTAAATTTAATAATCACTAGTTGCATTTGCACTAAATGTGATATACTTTTTGCAATCTATTCTGTAAATAAAATGATTACACTAAAAATATTTGTATTAAAAAAAAAAGACAAGAAAAGATACATCTTACCTTCAGATAACTGCACTGGTACTTCACTGGAGTTAATTCTGCCCAAACAGATTTAGAAATGAGTCCAGGAGTATGGAAAGAATCAAAATTTGGAGAGGTGCTGGCCTTTTACACAATATTCAGACCCTCTATAATTATTTTAATTGGCTAATTCCTACATCCTGAATATTCATGCTGTTTTCTCATACACAGATAATTCTCTCCTACAAAGCCAAAAACATACATTCTACTCAGTCTTTTATGCTCTGTTAGATACCAGAAAAATACTGGTGATCTGGAAAGTTTGTCCCTGAGTGCCCACTAAATGGGACAGAGAGATGGTGTTTCCCTTGTAACTCAGGACTGACTCCTGGTTTTGAGATGTAGAAGGATGATTGCAGCACTTGAGATTGCTACAGGGGCAACCAGACCAAAGGCGGAGGGGGGTCTTCTACAAGAGGTGTGAGAATGCCAAATAGGGAAAAGAAAGGATAGGTTTCCCATCAGTTTAATCAACTAATTTGTTCACCTATACAACATCAGTGCAGTTGCTACTGAGAGATTTAGTTGGGCTGAGCTGGTTCTCGTGTGAAATTGTGCTGGTTATCTTTAAGCTTTTCACTCATTTGTCCAATTAAACATTTTACCAGTATTTAGTCCAAGTTGTACAGATGATGTATTTGGATTATTGTCATTGTTCATCTACAGACTCAAAACATAATAATCATTTTAAAGTACCTTGGGAGTGTGTAGAGTATAACTATAATAGCTTTATGATTCTGATGTTTTTTAAAAATAAAGTTGGATCTTCCATGTTACAATCACAAAATTAAAACCAGTATTTAAAAGTGGAAAAGTATTAAAATATTATGGACAAATATGCTTGCTTGGTTTGTTTTCCTTAACCTCAAGATACTTCCCTAGATAATTCTCTGAGTAGTTTTAAAAGCTTTCTTGAAATGCTTTAGTTCCATGTTCTTTAAACTGTAGGTTGTAACTCCGTTAGGAATGAAGGAAACTGAGTCACAAACCTAAGTTTTTTAAAGCAAACTAGAACAGGGATATGTGAAGTGCACAGCATGTGATAAAGGTAAGCATTTTGCCAGTTGTCATGAAGTATGTGCATTTGTGTGTGGTGGATTATCATTTAAGATGAACTTACTGTGGTTCATGTCCCACAGTGCTATAAGGATTGCTAGAGATTGAAGCCGTAAACACCGGGCGTTTCTTTTTTTTTTTTTTTTTTCATTTTTCTTTTATTATTCATATGTGCATACAAGGCTTGGTTCATTTCTCCCCCCTGCCCCCACCCCCTCCCTTACCACCCACTCCACCCCCTCCCGCTCCCCCCCTCAATACCCAGCAGAAACTATTTTGCCCTTATCTCTAATTTTGTTGTAGAGAGAGTATAAGCAATAATAGGAAGGAACAAGGGGTTTTGCTGGTTGAGATAAGGATAGCTATACAGGGCATTGACTCACATTGATTTCCTGTGTGTGGGTGTTACCTTCTAGGTTAATTCTTTTTGATCTAACCTTTTCTCTAGTTCCTGGTCCCCTTTTCCTATTGGCCTCAGTTGTTTTAAGGTATCTGCTTTAGTTTCTCTGCATTAAGGGCAACAAATGCTAGCTAGTTTTTTAGGTGTCTTACCTATCCTCACCCCTCCCTTGTGTGCTCTCGCTTTTATCATGTGCTCATAGTCCAATCCCCTTGTTGTGTTTGCCCTTGATCTAATGTCCACATATGAGGGAGAACATACGATTTTTGGTCTTTTGAGCCAGGCTAACCTCACTCAGAATGATGTTCTCCAATTCCATCCATTTACCAGCGAATGATAACATTTCGTTCTTCTTCATGGCTGCATAAAATTCCATTGTGTATAGATACCACATTTTCTTAATCCATTCGTCAGTGCTGGGACATCTTGGCTGTTTCCATAACTTGGCTATTGTGAATAGTGCCGCAATAAACATGGATGTGCAGGTGCCTCTGGAGTAACAGTCTTTTGGGTATATCCCCAAGAGTGGTATTGCTGGATCAAATGGTAGATCGATGTCCATCTTTTTAAGTAGCCTCCAAATTTTTTTCCAGAGTGGTTGTACTAGTCTACATTCCCACCAACAGTGTAAAAGGGTTCCTTTTTCCCCACATCCTCGCCAACACCTGTTGTTGGTGGTGTTGCTGATAATGGCTATTCTAACAGGGGTGAGGTGGAATCTTAGTGTGGTTTTAATTTGCATTTCCTTTATTGCTAGAGATAACACCGGGCGTTTCTAAAATGCCCGCGAGCCATACACATCTGACTTGTATTCAACTATGTGCACTTAGCCATAAGTAATTCACTTATTTAAATTATACAGCCAAAAAATAAATAAATAAATAAATGATACGGCCAGCTCCACTTGTTACACTTAGGGAATTTGTTCCTGAAACCACCATCAGATGGGAAATGGGAATTTGCAGTTCACTCAGTGGAATGCCATCATGGCTGTCCTCATAGGCACGGAACAGCATTTCTGGTGTTCAAAGGCAAATCCAGACAGTATGACTGTCAACAAGCCAACCACTTACTCATCCTGGGATGCTGGAGGGAAAACCTAACTGTTGGGTTGTATTTATTGACAAATATATGGTTCTCCTTGTGGGTTTTTCAAGAACAGTTTCAGCCACAAGTTTTTTTCCTTAGAAACGGGTATAATTGTAATACCAGTTTCAAATCAGGGTGCTCTTACAGCATATTTTAGGTTTTCTTGCCATTGTTTGAATTTGATTATATCAGGACTTAACTACATTTGCATATACTAAGACAAGTTTTCTGTGAACTGCCACATCTGTATACTCTGAAGAGACTTTCACAAGGTTATTTGGCCTTTTCATTCTCTTTTTCTTCTCTTCCGTAATATTGTGTGAGTTAAGTGCTAGAACACATCTTAAAGAGTTTGAAGTTGTTAAAAAATGCCTAACCAGATTTTTCTTATCATCCAAGCTTTATGAGGTGCTAAACAAAGGTGTCTCCATTGTGGATGTGCCATGTACTATGTGCACTTTTTTTTTTTTTTTTCACAACAACCGTGTGAGGTGACGGTAGTTGATAGAAAACACTCCCCGCCCCATTTTACAAAGAAGAAATAGGCACATTGACTAGGAAGTCTGGTTTCCATTAGGCTCTGCTACTTTTTAATGACTGTCTCTTTGATATCTAGGGTATAGTTAATGAACCACAAAGAATAATATACTTGAACAGTAGCACTTTTAGGGTATGGGTCTTAACTCTACATATTGGCTTCACAAAATCTCAAAATACGTGTCATCTTACAAATCCCACCTGATACAGGAAGTCAATGAAGATGAAATTTTACTACCATTTGGTTCCTTAATTGTCATTCTGTCCTGAGAAACTTTGCTATAAAATACCTACAGTCAAGCCCAGAGGAAGATATTTTATCTCAGATTTCTCAACCCACAAACAAATTCCAATACAGCTATTACTGGTCTGCAAGTTAACTGCCACAAAAGGACCTCTGGGTAAGTGACTAAAGCTTTTAGTCAATCCAAACTGGATTGCTGTAGAACTGAGAGGCTTAAGCGGTAGTAGATTCAGCAACAAGGAATCTGTGCAGCAAGTATTCCCACTGAGGTCCACTCCCCAGGCCAGGAAATATTTACTGAGCATCTACTGTATGCCATGTAGTATTCCAGGATTAGGGATACAGGAATAAACAATATCAGACCTTCGTTACCTTTGTCACACAAGTTGTAGGAATGTATCCAAATTAAGAGGAAGTGAGCTTTGAGATCAGGAGCATTTAAATATAGTTATCAAATAGTAGACTAAACCACATTTGAGATGTACAAAGGTGTTTTCTTGGATCCTTGATTCTCAGTTGTGTTTTCAAAATGTGGGTAGAAAGTGGGTTGCTGCTGTGTTTTAAAAAATTCACCAAACTGCATATTGAAAATACTGAAGTATTTATTTTGATGGTGCTGTGGATTGACCCCAAGATCTCAAACATGCGAAATAGAGCTATGCCCCCACCCCTGATTATTCCTTTTTAGACTATAATTTACAGTCAGTTACTTTGGCTTTTCTTTCATTCCTAGCATATGATAAATGTTGCTATTTCTACGTGAATTTCCATGTTCCTGGTTGGTATATATTCAACATACTGAGAAAAACTGAGATGAAAACAAGTTTTTTGGCTCTCTCACTTGAACAACTTTGATCTTGGACAAGTCATTTAGTGTCTTAAGTCTGCTGACATCTATTAAGTAATACAAAGCCACTGCTAGTCACATCATGAGTTTGGAGGAAAGAGCAAGATGTTTTTAAAAATGCTTGGAAAACTTTGCAAATATAAGGAGTTACTAAGGCAACTGCAGGCAGACAAGCTAGGTTCTATTTTGAGAGTGCTAGAGCTGGGAAGATGGGCAAAGCCTGTAGGCTTTGTTAGCAGCTGGAACCAGGCCCTCCCTTTTAGGCTCCTGGCTGACTGGCTTCAGAATTAACTGAGTAGATGCTCTGTTTAATCAGCTTCCTACTCCGTGCTGCAGTCCCAGAAACTATAGTACAAAGGAGTCAAGCTTCAGGGCTCCAGGACAAGCGGGTCAAGGAGTGCCACTCCACTCTAATAGTTTCATCATGGGGGAGGGAGGAAGGCTTTTGCCTTCCACTGTCTTATTTGTTCCTTTTGGTGAAGAGTATAGGAAGTAAAAGGAAGGCAGGCATAAAGAATAGTGGCTAAAAGTCTTTCTCTGGGTCAGCCCAGATGTGTTGTTCAGAGTCTTGGGGGTGGGGTGGGGAGGAGCACCAAAATCCAAATAACACTTTCTAGAATGCTAGTTGTTCCATCTCTCTAGGATTCTTTTTATTAACCAGCACTTGGTATCCCATGGGTGTTTTCTAACTTTGTGCTTCTAAATGGACACAATTATTTTCTACCTTTTATTTTGCAAATTTTTGTGATCCTGGGGTTTGAACACAGGGAAGGCCCTTGTGCTTGGCAGGCAAGTACTCTACTACTTGAGCCACACCCCCAGCCCAGTGGAACACTGTTCATTCCCAGCAATACCAGGGGCCTCACTGAAATCCATGTCTGGGAAGCAACAGCAGTAGCACCAGTGAAGTTGTGAGATCTGCCATGGTACCGTCTCCACCCCAGCCCCAGGGAATCAGAAACTCTGGGACAGGACCTCCATGCCCTTTGAGAAGTGTAACAGAGCACTCCTGAATTTTTCTGCCTCTGAACTTCAGCTGCTAGTGTGAGGCTTAAGGGACCAGCTCATAGCTTGCTCTAACTCACATCCTGACATGAGCAACCACACCTCTCAGCAGCTCTCAAAGATGCTCAGGAGGGGTAAAAGGGGAGGGAGCATGTTCCATGTGCACTACAGTAAAAAAAGAATCTCTTCATCTTAAAACATGTAGCCGTCTTCTCTTGACTTCCAGCATAAAGATTGCCCATTCATTGTGCTGAGAAGTTTATTACTAATAAATTCTAGCCTTGTCCAGCACAGGAGCATAATTTGAGAAACAATAGTCTTTACAAAAAAATCTCCCCAATGAATGTAAGCTTTTACCTCAACATCTGGCACACAGTGAGTTTATTGGTGTTTTGTTGTTCTGTGTCCTCATTTGAACTCAGACCTTTCAATGCAGGATATTCCCTTAGGGTTGAAATCTATGCTCTCCCCTAAAAGTAGGAAAGATCCTATTGTTAGGTGTTTGGATCTGCAACATCCCCCAAAGGCCCATGTGTTCAAGGCATGGTTTATGGCAGGAGGAGCTACTGGGAAATGGTAGAAACTTTAAAACATGGGGCCCAGTGGGAGGTCTCATCACTGGGCACGTGCCTTTGAAGGGGTTGTGAGAACCACCTCTCTCTCTTGTGATTCCCAGTCATGAAGTGAACAGGTCTCTCTGTCACCGTGCACTCCCACCATAAGCCCAAAATCTTGGATAAAAACTTCAAAATCTGCAAGCCAAAATAAACCTCTCCTCTTTTTAAGTTGACTTACCTCAGTCCTGTCACATGGATCTCATTGCTTACCTAATCACTCAAGCAGAAGAAAGTTTTGAAAGTCCTTTACTGTCTTCTGTCTAACTTGCTCCATTCAGGACAGAATTGGCCATACAGGTGGTCACAGGTCATTGAGAATAAAAATTCAAACTAAAGCTCTAGTAGCTTCTTAATGGTTCATGCACACCTTTTCACGTCTAACAACAAAAGTGAAATCAAATTATAAACAAACAGAACTTGGCATTTCTAAAAAAGCCAACCACAGCTTTATGAAACTGTAGAAATTCCCATCTGATAGAGCTTAAATGCACACTTGAAAAGACCATTTACTTTTGGCTACCCAATCTTTATTTCCTCCCACTCTTAATTAACCCTCCCAAACTTCATATCCAAAAGTAGACTGGTGGAGATTACAGGTCTGAACTAATCAATCCCTCTAAGTATAAGAAAGATCAGTTCAAAGCACATATAACACTGAACTGTTGTAGAGTTGGAGAACAATGGGAAAATGATCATGTGACCCCCTAAGAGGACTTATAAATTACCATTCTGCCAGACTTTGCAAACTTTCAGGCCTCAGGTTTAGGGTTAATCCAAACAAAAAAGGCTACTGCTTACACTTTTATCAGTATTAACTTCCTTTTCATAATTTACTGGAACTGGAAAAAAGTACTCTATAACAAAATGTATACAATTTAGCAATTGTACAAAACATTAATTTAGCAAGGTGATATTGGTTACAGTCACCAAAATGAACACTCAACATACTTCTTCTCACTGCCACTTCCATGAAAAGCTCATATAAATAAGTCACTGGCTGAAAAGTCACACAGGAGCAATTTAACAACAGAAAAGGCCAGTCTTCCACAATAATACTGCAGACACAATCACTAAAGCTCTCCATGCTGCCACGGCATTACTGGAATGTTTTTCAGAGTCCATCTTCTACATGAGACATCAGCTTTCCAAGACCAACACTTGAAGCATTAATGTAATACAAAATAAGGAGTTCTTTATTATTTATACAAAACTTGTACATTTAAAAAAAATTAAGATTCAACAACTCTGCTGACCCCCTGAGGAAGCTAAGAGCTTTTATGGGTCCACCCAAGAGCCCTGTGTGAATGATTCAGTCACCAACCTCCTGGCCACAGGAACAAGGCAAGGCACCCAGCTCCAGGGCCATTCACGTGGTTCCATCATTGACTCCGTAAGCTGAATTTCCCTTCATTAGGCTTGGCAAGCAAGCCAGGGTTTCCTAGACAACATTAAACACATCATCTTCTCTGGCCCAAGGAGAGTGTTTTATCAGTATACAAGTTGATTTTTCTTTATTTCTTAAACACTTTCAATAAACTCCTAGCGTAAGACACTTATTACAACATACACAGATCTGATGTACTTTTGTACAAAAAAAAATTAAATTTTTCAGCTAAATAAATTTAAATGTCTTTAGGAAAATCAAAACTGGCTTAGAGAAATGGTAGTTTTCTTTCAAAAGTGTGTTTACACATTGTAAGTTCTGAGTGGGGTCACAGACTTGCGCAGACTTGACAGTCACCCTCACCTATTTAACATTAAGAGCTCTGCTGTCTTTAGCAACAAGCATAAAACTTCGTTTCTTAAATCAAATGTTGAAAGACAGGCCATAGCCAATTGAGACAAACATTTGTATTTAGAACAAACAGCTCACAGAGGTAAAGGAAGTGATCTGTTTTCTTGATTGAGAACTATTTAGCACTGCTTAGCACATTATTCTGTAGTTTGAGAAAAAAAGGAATTTTTCCCTTGAAGAAGCAGGTCCCCTTCTGAAGAATAATGTTGGTTACTCTCCCCAAAATCAAAATAGACCAGCACCAAATGAATTATTAGTTTACAAAAAATAAACTTAGCTCTTACATCCTAAAGTTCTACAATTCAGACGAAATAAATTAACTATAAAGTCAGAAGTTTTGTCAACTACAGTATAATTTAAAACCCATTTCAACCCACTGGGGGTGGAGGGAAGGCCAGTGCCCCTGGCCACCATAGGCTTCATCATCTCAGCAAAGGGAAACACCTTCCTCCAGCTTGAATTGGCTTCAGAAATGAGCTGCAGATTACCATCTGGGATGCTCTGAAGTATCGCATCCATGTTGAGATCTTTCCAAAGAGCACAGCATGTAAAGCACTAAGCTGTTTTCGGACCTGAGAAGTCTGCACAGAAAGGACCTTGAACCTCTCTGAAAGAGCCACACCCCCAGCAGTCATCTCACTGATCACGTCTATTCATCTTCCATAAGACACTGCATCGACAGTTTTAATTCACAGATTTTATGTTAGTCCTTTAGAACCCAATGCCCGTGTTTCAGTTCAGAACTGTCGTGCTATTCAAGCTGCCTTCTTGGTGCAAGTTCCTTGGAGGTCTTGTAAATTTATCTTTGACCTATGGTAGGAAAAAATGTACATATAAGAAAATGTCAGGAATATAAACTTTTCATTTGGACTACTCTAGCTGAGTATTGTTTTATACTACATTTCTTTAAAAGTATAAGGAACACGAGTTAAAGATATCTTTAAGTCCTACCTGTTATGAATCATGTGACTTCTGACAAGATGTCCTGCTGCTAATGCTGCCATCAGTGACAATTCCCCAGCCATTACTGTCCCACACACAATTCGGGCAAGCTGCCGGGCATTTTCTCCAGGATTGTCTTTGCAAGCTCCTTGAACACCTAGCATCTGTAGCCAGAGAGAGACACAAAACATTGACCCTTAAAGTCACAAACAACAATTACTAAAATCAGAACAACTACAATGGCATCAGAATAAAACTAGACTCCATTGGATTTCCTAAATTTCCAAGATATGACAGCCAGGTCTGACATTTCGTTTACTAGAGTTAGCAGAACCTACATGCTGACTGGCAGTGCGTTTGACTCCCTCTCTTAATCTACTGACTCCATTCATTAAGTAGATGGCTGAATAAGCTATGCTCATTTGGAAACACTGGGTCAGGCTGGTAGGAAACAAGAGCAAAAAGGAGTGACACATAATATCAGGTAGAGTCAGGTAGAGTGGAGTCTCTCCCAGAGAATCAGAGCTAGGCTTGAGGTCACTGGTTTCTGGCCAATGTATCTAGCATACCTGCAGACAGGCTTGCTGAGGTAGAAGGTTGGTCCCACCACCCACAGTTCCTATTTCTATAGATGGCATAGTGCAACTGATATACAAGTCTTCGTTGGTGGGACCGGTGGCTTCCATTAAAGTAATACAGTTTGAACTACTAACATTCTGTGCGGCATCCTAGAAAAAAAAAGAAACATAATATACTTCTTTCACACAGACCAAGATGACAGAATAGAAGTGGCAGCTGGCAAGCTCACCTGTCCGCAGGCAATGTAGATAGCAGTGACAATGTTTGCAGCATGGGCATTGTAGCCTCCTATGCTCCCAGCCATGGCAGAGCCCACCAGATTCTTGTTAATGTTTACGTCAATCATAGCTTCTGTAGTTGTCTTTAACACCTAGAAAACAGTTTTGTACATGTTAATTTTCCCCCAGGACATTCAGGAGATTATGACCCAGATCTGCCTGTCTGTATCTCCAGAAAACAAGAAAACTTAGATGTGGTCCCACGTAAGCCCTGTTCTCCATAAAAAGATTATTGGTAAAATTTGTTCCTGTGAATACCACACACAGATGGGCAAAGTATAATAAAACTTTCATCTTTAAAGGAAAACATAACCCCATAAACTTAATTTTATGAACAATGCTAGTACTCTCTTTTCTCATTTTAATCCAACTAAAAATTACAAAATAAAAGAGAAGACAAAACATTCATCCAGTGACTCACTTCTCTGACAACCTTGGCTGGGATGACAGCTTCACAGACAACAGTCTTTCCTCTTCCTTCGATCCAATTTATGGCAGCAGGCTTCTTGTCAGTACAGTAGTTTCCACTCACTGCAAGAATCTGCATTTCAGGGAAATACTCTTGAAGCTTTGAAAGCGCTTTCTCTGTACCCTGTTAACAACCAAAATAAGTAAAATGCATGAGGTATTTATCTTTATAAGTCACAAGGGTTTATTTTTATCTATGAAATACTTCACAATAACTAGACTTCAGAGAAGTGGAGCACAGTAACTTTTTGGTTGGGAATATATTCTTAATGTGTTTCTTTCTGTGTATGAAAACCAAACTCACTAGTCACTGATGAATAGGATGTAGATAAAACTAAAAATGAGAATGATAAAAATACTCAGTGGGAATATAAAAAAGACTCCTATTTGTATGTCACTGCAGAGTGAGTAACTCAAGCAATAATCAACATGTAAAAAAACTCCCTTTTTTAGCTATTAAACCATTACCTAAAAACCCAAGTTACTACATCTGTAAAGAAAAGTGGGTCATTAAAGCCAATCATCTCAATGCAAAGCCATTGGATTTATATTACATAAAGTATAAATAAGCCTTACAATGACTTACAGTGAAATAAAGTGAATTCAATTAACAACTCACACCTCAACAGCCCAAAACATATTTATTGGCAATTAAAAAATTGTGGTAATACACACATAACATAAAATTGACCACTGTAACCATTTCTAAATGTACAGTGGTAAAGACTTTCAAACTGTTTTGTACAACTAATCTCCAGAACTCTTTTTTATTTTGTAACACTGAAAGTCTACAGCCCATTAAACAACACCATTCTACTCTCAGTCTCCATGAATTTAACTATTCAAACTGCCTCGTAAAAGCGGGTCACACAGCATTTATCTTTTGTCACTGGCTTATTTCACTTAACATAATGTCCTCAGGGTTCACTTGTATTATATCATGTGTAAGAATTTCCACCCTTTTAAAGGCTGAATAATATTCCATGTTATATATACATATTATTTGTCCATGTATTCATCAATGGTTATTTCTACTGTGTACAAATATCTCTTCAAGATCCTGTTTTTGGTTCTTTTACTCATTTTCCTCCCTCTTCCTAAATAGTCCTTATAAATACACAATAAACCTTGAAGCCTGACTAGATGATCTTAACATTTTCATTTATTTCTGGTAAATAACAAATACAAGCAAAATATAATGGAAACCATATACAAACTTCTTAGCAAACAATTAAAATAAGTGGACTATACATATGAACTACATACATTTGACATCTTAAAGTCAAAGTCTTGAAGTCTCTAGAACAGGACAGTTTCAAGGTTTGCTAGACAAAATTACTTTTTGGGCAGGGAGTGGAGGAGTGCTGGGGATTGACCCTGGGGCCTCACGTATTCACTATTTTGCTCTATCACTGAGCTAGACCCCCAGCCTCTTCCCCCATTTGGGGGTTTGGGTTTTTTAGGAGTACAAAGTTCTGAAGTGTTAACTCTTAAGATTCTTCCCGACCCTTCTGAGTAGACAGAAAACATACAATGCTAAGACAAAATTAAACATATCAAATATAAACAGCACCCACTCACCAAATACTTGCTTTATATAACATGAGCTACATCAGTCAATATTTAGCTTACAATAGATTTTTAAGTCAATTAACTCTTTAAGTATATAACATATGTACATGTTATATCATTAAACACAGATGGACACAAACAGCAAGTCTGTTCCTTACCCGCATAACAGTCATTCTTACAAATTCACTATCCATCACGTATCCTTTCAGACATAGCGTAGCCATGCTCACCTTTGAAATCATGTTCATCCCCATGGCATCCCCAGTCCTGGACTGGAAACGGATGTAAAGGTTGCGTCCTGCCATACTCATGTGAAGTTTCTGTAGACGTGCAAATCTGTAAACAAAAGAAGCAATTCTTTTTAAGATGATAGAAGTTTCCTTAAAATCTAGTTCAGTCGCTTAATTTCATGCTTAAAAGAAAGCTCATGAAGTTTACTTCTTTTTTTCTTTAAATAACATATGAATGATACTACTTCGACTGTGTCTCATTCTTAAGACACTTAAGCGAGGATAGGCTATAGACAGTACTTTCTAAACAGATAAACTGAAAAATCCAAATAAAAACAAACATATTAGCTTGAATTACACTGGGGTTATCATCTGTAACAATTATGCTTCTGTATAATTCAACTTACAAATTCAAAATAAACTACTATACTAATACTTTTACCCTACTTAGAAAAGCTTTTTCCAAAAACAATGCTCTGCCAAAGCAAAGTAACAGTCTAATCAAATTTATTAGCATACAACTTTTTTTTGCTGACTTGACTTCTATGGAGGCATTCATTTGAATCAAATCCCCCATACACACACCAGGCAAAAATATTCTATAAGAATAGATTCAAGTGTGATTCTTTTGTTGTCTTCTCTTAAGCAGACAATGTATTAAAATTATGTTTAGCAAATCATTCTGAAATAAACACAAACATAAATATAAACCCACTCACATACCTGCTGGTGCTATCAAAGGCCTCCTTTATCACTGAGAACCCTTCAGGTGTTTCAAGCCAGGCCTTCACTTCTGCAGAGTCACAAGCACGAGGAAGACGCACCACTGGGCCACGAGTCATCCCATCTGCAAGGACTCGGCTGCTGGCACCTCCACCAAGCTACAACAGAGTATTTCAAAAAAAACATTAATCCAGAAAGTACTTCTGCAAAGAGGTGTCCTTGACTGTCCCCACACCTATTCTAGTTAACTTGCCAGGAGCATATTTTAAAACAGGCAAATAAATAAATTCCAACTTACATTTATTGCTCTGCAGCCCCTGTTAGTGCTGGCCACAAGACAACCTTCTGTTGTTGCCATTGGAACCTGAAATTCTTTTCCATCCAAGCACAGAGGACCTGCCACTCCAACAGGGATGGGCATATACCCAATAACATTCTCACAACAAGCTCCCATCACCTAAAAAGTGAAGTCAGGCACCAGGTGAAAATCTTATTGCAAATATACAGTAACTCATCTGAGTCCTGAACATCAATAACTTTCTTCACATTTAATTCTTTAGTATATTTTTCAACTTTTTATTTATTGTTTTTTATTTTTTTTCTTTTTTTTGTGGGACTGGAGTTTGGACTCAGTGCTTTGTACTTGCAAAGCAGGTGCTCTGCGGCTTGAGCCTCACCTCCAACCCATTCTCCTCTAGTAATTTTGGAGATGGGGGTCTCAAGAACAATTTGCCAAGGCTGGCCTTGAACTGCAATCCTCCCAACTCAGCCTCTCAAGTAGCTAGGATTATAGACATAAGCTATGGGTGTCTGACTTTATTCTTTAAAAAGTGTTTAAAGTGCTGAAATTTTCCAGTAATGACCATAAAACCAGGAAAAACATATCTTGAATTTTTATGGCCTATATCATAAGCAGAATATAAAATGACTTTAAAATAATTTATAAAGAAAATGTTACATACATATTCTTAGTTGAGGAAAAACCTCAACTAAAAAAAAAAACCTACAAAGCAAATCTTTTCTAATCAAGAAAATAACATACCAAGGAGTAATTATAATCTCTGTAAGGTAGGTACTGGAGAGAAGAAGGCTCTGGAAGCTTTTTGGAAAGTAACTGTCGGCGAATAGATACACCTCGTTCATGGGTTTCCATCAGAGTTTCCAACTTGTAAGCTGGGATATGCTTAGCATTAACCAGTTGGATGATCTCAGCATCACTAAGGAATTTTGCACCTTTCTAAAGAAATAGAAGATGGGAGGAAGATCAGAGAGGAAGATGACAGAAGACCTGAAGGATGACACTTCACATTACCTTTTTAATAACAATATCCCTACAAAATAAGCAACTCATGTACGATAAGAAAAGTCAATGGAAAATATAAATACCATAGCATTGTAGTTTTTACAGTACAAAAACAGACTTGCATTCATACACAGTAAAAAGCGAGTTCAAGTATACGTTAGATGTTACAAGTATTGTCCAAACTTGTCGATTTTTATAAATTTTTTTCTATTTTTAATTTTTGAGCAGGTAATTTATCCACATAGTTAAATATTAGTCTTCCTCCTAACTCTGTATCAATCTGCCCAGATCTTTTCTACCTACATTCAAATGCACTGACAGGTACATATGTATTCTTCCAGAGATGGGTTTTGGTTTTTTTGTTGTTTTTTTCCTAAGACAGGGTCTCACTATGTTATCCAGGCTGGCCTCTAATTCACTATGTGGTTTAGGCTGACCTCAAATTTGAAATCCTGCTGCCTCGGTCTCCTAAGAGTTGGGATTAGATGCATGTACCACCACACCTAGCAGATTTTTTTTTTAAATGCATGAGTGTACATATGTGTAGATTTGAGCATAAATTCATCGTGTTAGGTCAGAGGGTACATATATATACTTGTAAAATTAATAAATTATTAATTTTAATAAATACTGCCAAATTGTCTTTTCACTAGCAACATAAGAAAATGTATTTTCCACAATCTCAACAGAATATGTGATTAAATTTTTGGATTACAGCCAATCTAGTGAATAAAAATATCTCAAGTGTAGTTTTGCTTTGCATTTTTTCTTGAAGTAAGATTGATTATAAAAATGAAACAGTTAATCTCATGAATTTGTAGCTCTCTATATATGAGAGAATAGCCTGATAGTCTTAGATATAAACCGCCTGCATTTTCCACAAGTTTACTAGTTGTAGCTTGATTTTCCTTGTGGTGGTGATATACACACACACATACACAATCACCTCCCTCAACAAAACAGGCATATAACCTAACAATATGACCACACAGAAAGAAGGTACCTCAAGGGACAGGAACAAAATGAACCCGAAATTCCCGTGTTCAAAGAATAATGACTAGGTTCAGCTCAAAAGTGTATGATTAGGCTGGGGTAGTAGCTCAATGGTAAAGTGTATGCATGCAAAAATGTATGGTTAAAGAATATAAGTGAAACATATTCAAGTATATGGCATTTTGCCTAACCAAAATACATCTTCGGAGTCTTTGCTCCCATTTCCTATGTAGGGGAACAGGAGATGTTTCTCTCTTTTCCTCTGTCCTCCCCTGCTCCTTTGTCTATACTTTATCCTGTTACACCAATATAAATCCGTGCTAAAACTTTCAAAAAAGAAAATCTTCATGTTAACTACAGGAAAATTCAATAGACTACTTTTATCTTTTAAGTGGAAGCTCCAAACTTCAAACATTCCTATGAAAAAAAAAAAAAAAATACAACCATTCATCCTATTAACTTTGCTTAACTCCAAAGTCCTTTAAGTAGAAGACAAAAAAGCCAAACTCTGAAAGATCACAATGTGGAGCTGTGTGTAAAGTGGTCTGTGTTAAGCTTACAAATATTAGTATGTGGCTAGACTGTCTTCAATCCCCTTTTGGACCAGCTTATTTTGAGAGGCACTAAGAAAAACAGCAGGGACCAGAATAGAAGACTTGAGCTCAGTCCAGGTCCCCCTCTCTGCTGCAGGCCTGCCCTCTAGCAAGCTTAGGACCTCATCTGTAAAATAAATTTAAGTGCTCCATGGGTTGGATCAATGGAAAACAACCAATTTTTTTTGCTTGCATCAGTACAATATGCAATATATACATTATACATCATATTTTTGATATATAAACCTTGACCATCAAATAGTATATAGTCCAGCTGAAGAGACGACCTCTCAGGAGAGCTAAACACAAGCACTCTAAGAGAAGTCAATAGTCTCTGGATTTGTAAGGAGGGAGGTGATTTAAATAGAAACAATATCAAGGTAAAAGCAAACTGTTTATAAAACATAACTAAACAAGTAAGACTAAAACTCTCAAGTTTCCAAATTGTGTTCACAGAAAAAAACAAAAATCTGTAAGATCCACCACCCATACTGTGTTTTGCTAACTTTGTACACAGCAAAACACTGAGGTATGAGTACAAATGTAAAAGCAAACACACTTCCACTTTTATATATATGCACAAAAATTAAGAATTAATTTCAGAAAGATATCTTTCATAATCTCACTTATATGTGTTATCTAACATAGTCAAACTCCTAGAAGCAGAGTGGAATGGTGAGTGCCAGCAACTACCAGGAAGACAAAATGACATACCGGTCCAGATGGTGGAACAAAGTTTCAGTTATGCAGGACAGAACACCTCTGGACATATCATGTCCAGCAATGTGACTACAGATTGACAATGCTATATTGCAGACTAGAAATTTGCTCAGAAGGTAGTTCTTAAATGTTGCTACTAGTTTAGGAGGAAGGAATAACTATGTAAAGTGATGGATATGTTAATTAGCTTGATTGTGGCAATTATTCACAATGTACACATATCAAAACATCAAGTTGTACATCCTGAATATATACAATTTTATTTGTCAATTACATTTTAATGAAGATAGGGGGAGTATATCTTACTAAATGAATGAAAAAAACATTTATTTAAAGAATCAGCCAGCTGGTGGAGTGGCTCAAGTGGTAGAGCACCTGCCTAGCAAGTGTGAAGCACCGAGTACAAACCCCAGTGTTTCAAAAAAAAAAAAAAAAGTAAGAATCAACCAAAGTAAGCAGCTATAGATGAAACACACTATCTATGTTAAACCATAAATTAACTCATATGACCACACAGGCAGAACATCCTGTTGAAATCTCAGGAAGGAAAGCCAGTTTTCTCAATAGTTTAAACTTACAGTAGGCACCAGGGGCTCTCCCCTGTAATCCTAGCTACACAGGAGACAGAGATCAGGGTCGTGGTTCAAAGCCAGCCCAGGCAAATAGTTTGTGAGACCCTATCTCGAAAAAACCCATATTAAAAAAGGGCTGGTGGAGTGTCTCAAGGTGTAGACCCTAAATTAAAGCCCCAGCATCACAAAAAAAAAAAGAAAAAACAAAACAAAAAAAACCCTTTCTTCTATCTTTGAAGTTCACCTCTGTTTTAAACACTCTCAAGGCCTGAACACCCATGAGAAGAATACAATCACTGATCATCTCTATGATAAACAGTAATGAACTGGAAAGAGTTTTGAGTCTGGAATCAGAAAATCTCAGACCCTATTCCTAATGTTACCATTTCTTCAATGTAATACTTTGGGATATGACTTAAACCTTTTAGCCCTGGGTTTCTCATCTTAAAAATGGAGATAATTCCAAGTACCTCAAAAATTTGTGGAGAATAAACAGTGACTGCAAATCATGATAGTGCCCAGAACTAGTAGATACTAATTTTTCCCTCCTGTAATAAAACAAAACCCCTAAAGAAAAAGTTCAAGCTTGAATGTGTATTATCAATCTCACCTCTGCATTCCCAAGTATCTGCAGGCATTCTTCATTAGGCCGAGGTTCCCTGGGAAGCTCAATTTCAGGTTCCTGTGTAATACTGGGTAAGGAGGAACCACCAACAACAAATGTTGCCCTGCTTGAGGTGTCAGTTTCAGCCACTAATGGTTTTATAACTTCCACTGTTCAAAAGATCAAAAGAAATCTCAAAACACTGAACATTACTCTTAAAATGGATGCAATGATAAATCATCAATGGAAGAACTGAAAGGCAAGACTAAGAAATTACCTTTGCTTTCTTGGTTTATCCCTGCCTCTTCTTCCATTGACTGCAATTTCTGGTTATTTCTGACCAGCATAGGCTCACGTCTACAACAGTTGACTTGGGCTTTCTTTTGGGTCACTAAAGGAGATGTGATAGGGTTCTTTAGTGAAAGTGTAGATTCTGTTTCTGCTTGTTCAAAGAAAATGTACTTGACAGCCAGAAGGAGAGCTAAACTTAAGGTAATCACTTGTTCAATATCCATGCTGATCATTCTAGAAAGAAAGCAAATTAATGTCATTATTCAGAAATACAAAATGCAAAACCTAAACTTGTAAAGAATAGAGAACTATGATTAATATACAATACAGTAGGTTTCAGTTAACTTACTTGGAGAGATAAAATTGCCAAAGGGAAACACTTGGTTCAATTCTCTTGGACACATTTTCATCAAGACCTAAAGAAACCTTCGAATGTTCTGCTGTACTATTTTGAGGAGAAGGATCAGCTATCCAGCGACTATGAGCATGAACAAGAACCAAGCCTAAAGACTGAAATAAAATTTGAAAGTTATATATCCTCTGCTTCTCGATAAGAGTTTAAATTTCTCACCCCTAACAAATGGACAACTAGACACTATGTTCCTTGGCTTCCCCTTACCATGATTAAAAAAGCCCCCATGCTTGTTATGTGACTAACAAAAGGAGTGGCCCCATTACTACTTAAACATCCCAAACAGGTTTTCAGAGAGATGGAAGAACTTGAAAAATCTATCTAGGGGAAAGAAACTAAAAAAGACTAGAAGCCTCAAAGAATAAGTTAAGAAAAAAGGGATTAAGACAGTGGAATATCATTGAAGGAGCCAAAAATTATAGAAACAGGAAGTAAAAATACCAAACAAATTACAAGAAAGGGATGACACTGGAATTTAGGATACTGAAGGGAAAAGAAAACTGTATCATTACCATAATCATCTTGACCCTCTGCGTTACAGGATTTGGTTTATTTTCTTCTTCTTCTAAAACTCGGGCAAAATGACTGAGCTGCCAAATTGGACGACCTTCACGGCTTTCCCGAGAAAGCTACAAAGCAAGTCCACATTGTGTTAGGAGGACTAATTTTGTGTAGGTTAACTGTTATCATGAGAAATGTTACTTTTCCGCTAGTGCCACAGTTAAGAATTGCTTACCTCTAATACCAAGGACACGCATGCTGGGAAAAAAGTCATAAACACGAAGTAGTTGGCAAGAACTGACATGCAGCCAAAGCAGCACATGATCTCAAGCTGGCGCACCCCTGGATGGAGGGAAATGAAATGTGTAACTAGTGAGACGTGCGCACTTCTGATGCTATGAATCAAGGACTCTTCCTATAGATACAAAATGCATGCGAATATTACCACGTTGAGTTCTCTGCCATCTACTGGAAATGCAATCAGCAACTTAACATATAACTATAGAACTCAGAGACCTTGTCTTTTTTCCCATATCCCCAGCATCACAATACCATGCATGATAATACTGCTTAAAACACATTTGATAACCAAATGTGTCTCCAGTTCTCTTATCAAATGGTGGCACCTTATTTTTAGAAAAAAATAAAGAGGACAAGCTGGACACTGGTGGCTCACACCTGTAATCCTAGCTGCTCAGGAGGCAGAGATCAGAAGGATCACAGTTCAAGGCCAGCCCAGAAAATAGTTCAAGAGACCCTATCTTGAAAATACCCAACACAAAAAAGGGCTGGTGGAGTGGCTCAGGCACTCTGCCTACCTAGCAAGTGTGAGTTAATCCCCAGTACCAAAAAAAAAGAATACAGAGAACAGCTACTTTAATGTAGGACCTCCATCCCTCCAATTGATACAATTGATCTAATCTCCTTTATAATCACAAAAACAACACTATGTATTTAATATACCACCTAGTTGGAAACACAGCAACTACACCCTTAAAAATAACACAATTTCCTTCTGAAAGAATAAACTCCCTTATTGAAAGGTGTATGGCACCAGGAAATATACTAGCACAGTAGCTAGATAAGTATGGTCTTTGGTGGGGGAAGGTAGTATACACCTGCAATCCTAGCACTCAGGAGGCTGAGGCAAGAGTTCCAGGCCAGCCTGGGCTACAAAGAGAGATCCTGTTTCAAACAAACAAACAAAAAAACACAAATAAGCAAGGTCTTCATTAAAAAGCCATAAAACCTAGTCCTATTGGTTAAGAAACCTCCACAGTAGCAAGATATATTCATTCTGACAAATTTCCATGCCAGGCCATAATTTTTATCATATATGGAGTGCTCTGCTTGGTATTTAGTATCTAATTCTCTACTATACAATTAAGGATAAGGGAACGTGCTGATGCTAATACCAGGTACTTACTAAGATGTCCTGTTTACTAGCTGATTAAATCGTCCTAACCACCTTATTAGGTGGATCTAACACAGATCTGTCCAATGCCTGACTCTCCCACTGTCTCCTACATGACAATTAAAACACAAGGAACTAAGACACTAACTTAGTCTGGGGAACACTAAGGATTGAAAGGTGCTTTCCAGACCAACCTTGGAACACAAAGATCTTGATTAAAAACTAGCAACAAAAACCAACACTACAGATTAGAACACAGAAAGAGAAGATGGCAAGAGTGAAAAACACACAGGTAACCTACTACTACATTTTCACCAAGATCAGATATAACCACACACTAACATAACTGAAAATTCTTAAGAGCAGAATTTACAAATAAATAATGTAAATCAAAAATATTCTTTTTTCCTTTTTAGTGACATAGTTAATTTTAAGTGTATTAGAAATTGTTTACAAACCTGACATAGTACCAACACCAATCACAAGACATTCAACAAGAGCATCAAGGGTGAATGTGGGACCTAAAATTGCCATTCCACGAGCAATGTTTTCCCTTACTTCATCCTAAAAAACATACCAAACACATCAATGAGGGTAAAGTACAAAATAACTTTTAAAAATGTTAGACAGCATCCAAGGACTTACACTAAAATTTGATTTATTACCCACAGAGTAAAATATACAATATGATTAAGACTAACATGTTTGAGATACAAAGCACGGTAGTAATATAGAGGATTAAATAAAAAAGGACATATGTAGTACCCTGCTTCCATTACCACTTAAGGACATATTTCTAGGGAATGTTCCTTAAAGGTAGTACATTAATCCTGTCCTTTAAATTGCACATAATTAAATCCTACAACATTTTATATTTTGGCCAACATTGACAGAAGCTCTTAGTTGTAAGTGTTTTATGAAGTCATGTTACTGTTAGTCTCAATTCCTTGTCGGCATGTTCAAATATCATAAACACTCACTGCATACATAATCAGGGCAGAACTATGAGCGATTTTACATTAGAGATACTCTGATGTAAGATTGCTGGAAAAAAAAAGGTTGGGTTTTCAGAAATGACTAATGAACATCAAGACGAAACTTAAAAGGGTGTGGGAGGGTGAATGGGGTGGAAATATTCTGTACTCATGTATGAAAATAGAAAAATGAGACCTGTTGAAACTAGTCTAGGAATGGGGGGAGGGGGTAAAGGAGAATGATGGAGGGAGTGAATCTAAGATATATTGTAAGAACTTTTATAATGTCACAATGTAGCCCCAGTACAACAATATGATAATAAAAAAAGTTAAAAACAAAAAAAAGATGAAACTTAAAATGAGAAATAAAGCCAGTGTTAATTCGAGGAGTTCTCTTCCATTAAATCCTACTCTGCTCTCTCTGTGTTTCTTTAGGTTGACACTTTTCTTTATCCAAAGGTCACTTAAGCATAATTTCTGAAAGCTTTCAAAATGGAAAATGGGGAATATTCAAATTTCTAGTAGCTATAGAATTATTTATATTTGAGTCATTAGATAAATATCACTATTCCTAAGGATTTTATGCAGTCAGTCTTAGGACTTAATAATTAAACTTACAATACAGGGCAGTCCCTCAACCGTAGGCTATGAAGAAACTTTATAAATCCTTTGCATCAACATAAACAAAGTTTAACCAGGAATACTACTCACACTCCTATCTTAGGAATAAGTAACACTTACCTGTGAATTAGAACTTAGGGCAAACTTGGCTAAGGCACTTGCTCTGGAAAGGTCAATCAGAAGTAGGAAAAAGGGCAAAGCTTCACTGAGGGAAAAACAGATGATCAAGTACATTTATTAAGGGAAAAATATGGCTTTTAGAACAAAACGTTTTAAGCGAAAACTCCCCCCAACCCCCGTATTTTGTATGAGCCTTAGGATATGTACCTTTCTGCAGACCAAAAGGTATACTCAATATATGGCATCCTCAAAACTAAACATAACAGTTGCTAAAATTATTTGCTAAAACTATTTTTAATGATAGCTGGGTGTGGTGGTGCATGCCTATAATCCCAGCTATGTGGGAGACAAAGATAGGAGGATTGTGGTTCAAGGTCAGCTGGGGCAAAAAAGAAAGTTAAGGACACTCTATCTCAAAAAAAGAAGCTGCATGTGGTGATGCAAGCCAGTAATCACAGCTACAGGGAAGCAGAAGTAAAGAGGATCATAGCCTGAGGGGCAAAAGTATGAGACCGTTATCTGAAAAATAACCTAAAAAGCAAAAAGGGCTGGAGGTGTGGCTCAAGTGATATAGAGCTTGCCTAGCAAGTGCAAGACCCTGGATTTAAGCCCCAATGCAGCCAAAAAAAAAAAAAAAAACAGTTTTTAATGACAAAATGTAAATATATTTATAGTGAAACCTTTCAGTGTTTGTTAAACTTCACAGCAAAGTATCATTTTTAACTTAAAAACTCTTTGAATTTGCATTGGTGAAAATGGGTAACTATAAGAATTTTGCTCATTAATCACTACTTGAAAGAAGGATAAACTGAAATTCTGGAGAATAAATTGTTAATAATGGCACCAAAAAAACTTCCACCCCAAAAAGTAGCAGCAAAGCTCTAAAAAAGCAAAGCCACTATCCCACTATTAGGAATGTATCCTAAGTAAATAATTAGGAATATGAATTAAAATTTGGCTACAAAGATATTCATCACACTGTTATTAATGGAGAAAATCAACTTAACAATCTAACACTAGAGGGTTAATAAGCCACATGAGATCCAGAGAGGAGAATAGAATAGAACCATCACTAACAATTTAGCTCAACATTAAAGACATGGAAAGACAATGAACTATCATTAGACATAAATAAATTAGAAAACAAAATATAAGCATAATTCCAGAAAATTTAAGCATAAAATAAATGGAAACGAATGTGTACAAAATGTTACTTAAAATTAGCTAATTGTAAGATTACATGAAAATTTCCCCCCATTTTCTACGCTTTTGAAAATTCATCTATTACCTTTATAGCATACAGAATTAAAGTTCTTAAAAGTATATTTTGAGCTGAGCATAGTAACTCATGCCTGTAATCCAAGCTACTCTAGAGGCAAAGATCAAGAGGATCACCATTCAAGGCAAGCCTGGGCAAAAGTGAGCAAGACCCCCACCCATCTCAACCAATCAGCCAGGTGTGATGATACACACATATGGTCCCAGCTACACAAGAGGCCATAGTTAGGATGACTGTGGTCCAAGTTGGCTCCAGGTAAAAACAAGACCCTATCTAAAAAATAACCTAAAAAGTAAAAGGACTGGAAGTGTGGCTCAAGTGGAACAGCACTTGTCTAGCAAGCATCAAGGCCCCAAGTTCAAACTCTACTACCACCCCAAAAAATGTACTTTGAAAGAATGTAACATACTTAGGCTTTTAATACTTACTTCAAGCCTGTCAATTCTTTATCTAAGAAGTGAATGACAACTGTACTGAATACAAAACTTGAGAAAATTGTGAAGAGGCCAGCAATACCTAAAATGACAAAATTTAACACTGAAAAATCCTTGTTCTTTACTACACACATAGTAACATATAGTTCCATACAATATTCTAAATAAATAATATTTTTCTCCAGATTATTAAGGTCTCAAAGTTTGCAATGTCTGACCCCCAGTAATGAGAATGGAAACCACTGAGTGCATGCAGCACACTTTCAGCAAGACACACATTTCAACACACACATGATTTGAACATTGTCTATTTTCATGAGAAATAAAAAATCTGCCGGCACAAGGAAAGTAAACATATAAATTATTACCCAAAATATACTTTGATCCAAGTTGACGTAAATTCTGGAACTGGAAGTAAATATACAGGATCGCTATGCATCGTGTTATTGTTAGAATTATAATGTCACTGCTTAAAACATCCTATTGGGAGAGACAGAAAAGAAAATTTCAATAGCTTTCCTTTTAAAATAAGCAGTCAAAAATAAGAATTTTTATTTTGCACGTGCCATTGGTTTACATATTATGAGAATCGCATATTACAAATCAAATAAAAATATCAATCATACAAATAAAAAATTAAAGCCAATTTTTAAATAGTTCACTATAGTAACCCAAGTTTTTACATTTTTCACTGGTAGTTACTTATAAGTGATATATTGCTCAAAGTCAATTACACACATTTGTATACAAAGGCAAAGAAAGTATTTCTAATGCTTTCCCATACCATGTAAGTAAATGGAAATTTGAGGTAAGTACATGAAAATTAAAATAATGACTTTAATCATAACCTTTTTTGGTCATAAGTTCTCTAAAAGGTGACATTCTTTAGAAATTTAAAATGTAATTGACTTTAGTCAATCTCAAAATAATTTCACTAACCTCTTCAAATTTTGGGCACTCATAATTCCAACCACAAATCTTGTTGTTACCAGTAAACATGTTCATGGACATCATACAGATGGTCAGTGTCACTGTCCCCACTATGACTTCCCAGGGATGGGAGGCCACAAAGAGGCCATGCATTCGGAAAAGTCTCGACAACATTGCAGCTACAGAATCCTTTGAGCCTGAAAGGAATATCAGGTGTAAACACTTAGTATACAGCTCACTGTACTGTTAGAAAAAAAAATTTAAGTATGATGTAGGGTTTATATACTTTGTATGCAGTGTTCTGTATATAGAACTATTTGATAGTTTGTTCTCATAATTCTGGATAATCATAAGAGTAAATTTAAAGGACTATTATTACTTCCTTACTCAGTAAGTCCTTTACTACTCACTGGCAATCAACTTACAAGAAGTCATTTCTTAAAAACTATATGAATTCAAGTATTTAAGATCTAACCCAATAAATGTGTCAGTCAGTTATTATCTGAGCCAAGGAGGAGAGCAATAGAACTGAAAAAGTCCTGAGAAACAACTATTACATTTCTAATTACTCAGATATAAAATATACAAACACCTTCTTCATCCACATTCTGATTACACAAAAGGTAGATATCAAAGAATCTACTTGTTGAGTGTCCTACAAATCACGTTTAATTTTAAGCTCCTAGAGCTTTGATACACTTTTAAGGCTATTAAACACATGGAATAATGTCACTTAGCAAAATATTTAATAAACCTCCCTTTTCCGATAGATGTTTCTAACCTGGTAAAAAGGGGTAAGAATTTTGATGTGGCTGCTTTTCTTCTAGCAGAATTGGCACCAATAGGGCTAGAAGACCAGTGGAAAAACATTAGATGTAAAATGCTCATCAACTTTTACAGCTAATCAACACTAGGAGAGAAGCAGAAGAGGACGCTGGAGCATACATCTGTAGCATTCAAAAAGATTCATGGAGTTAATAACTACCATCACTAAATATCCCTGTACTTGCTGGCTAAATAATTTTGATAATCTAATTGTGAAAAAATCTTACATAGCCATTGGTATCTACAGAGGTGCTTTCAAGCTTTATTTCTTCCACTAAAATGAACACCTATGTTAAAGCATATTAATTACCCATAAAAATCAAATGAAAATTTGAAAACTAAGTTCACTGATTGCCATGCTAACAAGAATTAAAGTGAATCTCATTTTTACTGAGAAAATGATTCATGTATTGAAGACAGAAAATAAAAGACAACAAATGAGGTAGAAGACAGCACTGATCTTTATTTAAAGCGCAAAGGGAAAGAAAAAGACATAAGCTTTTAGGGATTAAACCAATTAGCAAGCACCACCTCTCACTGTGGCACTCCTGTTCTCTACATTTCAACCAGGCCAGGCGACAGGCCAGATTAACTGGTTTTCAAACTGTAGGTCACAATCCTTCACTAGATTAATCAGATCATGAAATCATGTTTAGTAAGCACAAACATTTTTAATAAAGTAAAATAGAAAGCAATAATATAAAAGATATCTGTTGGGTAGGACATGTAGTACAGGTAGGTGTTATTTCTCAAATTTTCATTTGCCATGAAACTATACATATGTATGTATTCTGGCTTCCAATATATATAACACGCATTTCCTACTGTGGGTCACAATGTTTGAAGACCAAGTCATTAAAGTATGTAAGTGTGGCATGCACCTGCCTATGTTTATTCATGCTTTTTCAACCTTGCGTCTTGAATTGTATTATTTTACCTTCAGTACCTTGTGCTCATATGTAGTATTGTTCAACAAAACACTTTGTATTTAATAAGCAGAGACTTGGATTTGAAGGCTTCAAACATATCTTAGGGTTGAACCCTACTTAATTACATGCAAAAGCATCATGAGAGGTTAGATATTCGTTGGCTTCTATCATACATTTTCTTATCAAAAACCAAAACTCTACAAACTTGTCTAAGGGATCAACTAACAGCATTCCAGAGAGTAAATTAACTTGTTAAAAAACTATGTCAAAATTATTTCTAATTCCTCACCACACACAAAATTAATTAAAAAATACAAACTATAACCAAAAAAACCCTCCAACTTAGATTCTTCCATAATGAGTCAATATTATTCATCACTATTAAAAATTGACTCATTTAAAATCTGAACTGCTACTAGGAAGCAGTTCAAATTAGATTACAAATTAGTTTAGCATAAACCCACAATTATACATTAGGCATATTATGATTTCCCTCAAATAGATTTCCTGGTGGCATTGTCAATTCTGGAACGTCTTTTTCTCCTACCTATTAGTTATCTTTTCAACACTGAGTAAAAAAATTACACATGACCCTGTGAGCCACCCCAAACAGAACTTAGCAACCTTACCAAGGTGTGTTGACAGTAACCATAAAGAATCTCATTTCTCATGAGCTCCCTCCCCATTTCTCTGTGGTTATGCAAAGCATTTACATGCCATACAATCCAATGTTCCACCTTCATCAGCAATTCCAAGTGGCACTAGCAGGCCATAGTATAGCTCGTACAAGTTCAACAGACAGCATTTACACCATGCTGAAATAATGAGGATAACTTTCACTTAAAGAAAACAAGGGAAATAAGCAACATATGCCTTGCTTATTCAGACTGAAGTATACTGCAAACATTTCACACAGATTCTTTAAAAGTATGGATAATTTAAATTTACTGGAATCCTCAACTCTAATTCAATCTGCTACTGAAACCACCTACCATGGCCAAGTGCAAAAAGGGATGTTTTAGCACTGCTTCTTCCTTCCCATTCAGCATTCACCCTGTGTTACACATTCCAGTATTTGATTATATAGTGTCTTACACAGTTCTCTAATTAATGTGTACATGCTGTCCCTGTGAAGGCAAAAAACTGTGCCTTATACCACAGTCACTTTTAATCCCAATAGGACCTAGCATTTTGCTTCTCAACCCACTATCCTACAAAATCATCATCTTGCACTGGAAAACAAAAAAATGGAATTCTATGAGCCAATTCTATTATATGGTAGGTGCTTGTAAGTTACATCTTCTCTCTTCATTCACTTAGAAAGCTAGAGCTCTGAAGTTCTCTGACAAAGTATTAAGTGGAACCACATGAAACTGCTATTTTGTAAGTATAAAATGGTCAATTTTCAAATAGTGGCAATTTCATAAGTATTAACTAAAGTAGAGGCTGATCCTGTAATATGGCTCTTTCCCTGATTCAGAAATTAGACCATAAGAAATTAGTGTGCACACACTTCATCTTGAAATGGTCAGGCCACATACACAACTGTTCATGTTGTAGCATGATCTATACACATTTTTTATCCTTCATATTACTAATTCCCACTTGTCCTTACTGCTAAGTGTATCATGAATTCTAGAAAGACACTACAACAAAGCCGACCTGCAAAATCCAGTCTATCACAAAAGCATATGTAGGCCTTTGCTAGAGTGTCTCTAAATTTAAAAAGAAGCCTTTCACTTCATGGAGAAGAAAATAAATAACGAATACATCAGCTATTATGTGAGATGCTTAAGTTATGTACAATTCTTTTCCTGTGACTCTACAGGAACAAGTCCAGGAAGGCGCATCCTCAAATACTGAAATATTCCATACGACTGCCTAAGATGGAGTACATTAACCTCCTCCTACAGCAGAAATCAGATGTGTCTTTGAAGGTGTGTTTTTTCTAAACCTCAGCCAAATAATTCAGGAAAACCTCTAAGGTTTGAACCATAAGACATCAGCATCAAGGAGACTACGCCCCTTAGGATGAAAAGAAGACAACGACCCCTGAGTCCTCGGGCGAGCCCTGCCCTCGGGCTCCGCATCCTCCCGACCCGTTCCCACGGAAATAACCAGACGCATGTACGCGGACCCACGGCTTTGGGTTAAGTCAACGGCATTTACGGAGCTCTTCGCTTTAAAAGTGCGTGAACGCCTGGACCCGGTAGTCGCTTCTCCCGTCAGCTCTGCGACCTGCCAGTCCTGAGGTCCCTCGACCCCCAACATGTCTCCAAACAAGGGGCCTCCGGGATTGGATCGCCCTGCCTGGCACGGGATCGGACTCAATGACCGTGACTGTCTACCTCGGACAGGGCCGGCGAAGGCGGCGACGCCCCGCGGTCTCCATGGTGACCGTAGACCCCAGGAGGCCGAACCTCCTCCCGCCCCTCAGGCCCCGCCCAGCCCCTGGGGTCCCTCGGCAGTGGTGCTGGCCGCCGCCCGGCCCGCTGAGTGTCAAGGACATCTCGCAGTCCCCGCGGGACCCGGCCGCCACGCCACACCCGCAAAGCGTCACGGCACCGTAGCTGCCGCCAGCTCCGCAGGGGCTGCCCGCAGCCACTTCCCGGAACAGAGCGAAAGTCAAGAACCACCACTAATAAGGTCCCAAGCCCGCTCCCACCCCATTCAGCCCACTCTCCCTTCCTTGACCAGCTCCTGCCTCACCTCTGAATCTCACTAGAGGCCGACGAACCCAGGCGCAGGTGCTCCGCCCGTCTCCCGTCAACGGAGACGCGGTGCGGAAGGAAATCTGGCCTTACGCACGCTCGGAACTAACGAGCCCGCAGCCAGTAAGAAAGGATCGTCCGATCGCCTAGCCAATCATCTGGGGACTCCTCGGCCTGACGGCCGACGTCACGAACGGTCGCCTTAACAACCGCCCACAGCTCTCACCCGGGCGGAGAACGGGCACCGCACCATCTCTCACCACGGCCAGGCCAACCAATAGCAAGTCGAGTCTCAGCTCTCGGGCCTGCCCATTGGTCCGAGAGCCATGGGGGCGCAAGCGTGGTAGCCGCCTAGGCGAAGGCGATAGGGGATCTAGCGGGTGGAGCGTCAGGCAACCCCTGGACCCGACCCCGGGTGGTCTCGCCCGTGAAAGGACTGTGAGAGGCAGTGGTTTGAAACACAGCTGCCGCATGGGGATGAACGCAGGGTCAGGTTGAGATAGCTTAGTTGGTGGAGAGACATTGAGGAGGATGGGGAGGGGCAAGATAGAGGTGGCTCTGAATACAAGGAGTAATATAAGGAAAGAAAATATAGAAAGAATGTAAGAAAGGGAGGAATGCAGCAAGGTGCAACCCAAACCTCAAGTCAATCCGAACCACCTCTCTGTGACTTACCCATAGTGTAAATGGCTCCGGCTTTCTGTGTCGCTCTTCTGTGCAGGGACCTGTTAAACATGTTGATTCTTTCTGAAATCTGCCTTTCCTGTGTCTTCTCTTGAGTTGCTTCTGTGCTCTGCCTGGTGCAGGCCTTTATCATACCTTACCTAAAACAGTGTAGCCTCTCCCAACTGGTCTTTCCACCTTAGACTTGCACCTTCCAATGCATCTTGCACTGCTGCCGCAGCAATCTTCCTCTTATGCCATAGACCTGCCCTCAGATCATCAGGAGGTTCTCATGTCTACTGGATTAGAGAACCTGACACTACCAATATGGCTCCACCCCACATGTCTTGTATATATCTCTCACTATTTCCCTGTGCGAGTCCTACATTTCAGCCTACTCTAGTTACTCTAACTGGTCCTTCATTCGCATTCAATAGCTTTTTATATATAGTCTGTTAATTTAACCCCATTTACCATTTTAAAGATGAAATCCTATTTATATGCCACCTCCTTTCCTGATTCCCTCAAATATGTCATCTCTCCCTACTTTGAGCACCAGAACTTCTCCATAGTGTTCTGTGACTTGTCTCATCTTATGTGGAAGTTTTTTTTTTTTTTTCTTTCTGTTAGGTCCCTGGCATTCTTGGGGCGGGTGGAAGGTCCCAAGGCTAGCACCTTAAAACCGGATCCCCTGATTTATGACTGCTTGTTTCTCCCTGCCTGATTGTTTCTCAGCTTGCAAAACAACTCAGGAACTCCCAGTTACTCAACTAGCCAGGCACCTCCACCTATTCCATCTGGTGATGGCAGATAATCGGAGACCACAGACTCTCTCCCTCCCCCATGGCTTGGCCCCTCCTATAAAACACACCACTCAATTCACCCAAGCCGCTGCTTGGCGGGGAGGGCAGCTCTGCGGTCTGGATTAACAAATCTTTCCTTTCCACACATGGCATGGTCTTTATTCGGCAATACCTTACGCTTTCTATTTTGGTGACACTGAAGTTTGAACTCAGGGCCTCATGCCTAACAGGCAGTCGCTCTGCCACTTGAGGCACGCTGCCAGCTTGTGTGGAATTTCTTAAAGAGAATTGTACTTCACTCCGTTTTTAAGACACTATATTTTGAAACACAGTACCTGGAAAATACCATACAATCAACAGGAGTTTTAATAGACTATGATCTTATTAGATTCTCATAATCTTCATATAATAGGTATTACCGTCATTTCACAAAAAAAAAAGAAAAGGAAAGGTTTTTTAAGCAACTTGAAGCAATTTGAAAAACTGGAATATGAATCCAGAACTAAAGCTTATACCAGTTTTACTATGCTCTACTATAGCACTTTATTCATATCTCTTTATCAGATATTTTGAAACACTGATTTTATGCAGTGCCTCATAGCTGGAATTGGAGCTATAACAGCAAATATGACAGATATGGTACCTGATTTTATGAACCTTGTGTAGTTAAGAAAACTGAAGTAAGCTAGACAAAGATGGCAATATTCTATTACAAGCCTCATTAAAAGCAAAAGAAGAGGAAGGAAAAAAAGAAAGGAAGGAAGAAAGGAAAAGAGAAGGGAGGAAAGAATGAGTATGGAAATACCAAAAACCTAGAAACTTCCATATCTTAATGTCCCTAAAAGTCTAAAGGTCCAAATATCTCAGAACTAGAAGTTAAAGTTTGTACAAATGCTTATTATTATATTCAAATAAGGATTATAAAGCTGTTACTACAAAAGGCAAGCCTAAAGCTTGGAAACTTTCATTCCCAAATTCTGCTTAATCAAGAACTCCAATGGCTATATGAAGGAGAGGAGAGGAGAGGAGAACAGAGAAGAGAAACAGAAAAGATGAGGATATCATGGATCTTGGGCAGGTTAGCAGAGGCTCTCCTGTCCCAGCTGGCATGAATGTCAGCTAACAGTCTTTACTATTGTTTTCCAGTAGCAAAACTAAACATTCTGCTTCTTAGTTCCTAAAACTTCTCCAACTAAAATTAATAGGTGGATCCTATTAGGAAATTAGGAACAAAGTCTCTACCACAGAGTGTGCACACAAATAGCTTTGCTGTCCCTTGAGCCTGCTTTCACCCTTTAACTGTGTTTTTGTTTGTTTTCTTCCTCACATTTCCTGAGTCAGTTGGGAAACAGGCACAAACTATACTGGAATAAGGATTTTTTTTTTCTTTTAAAATAATTTTTCTCCACAGGAACATGCTTGCACAATGCAGAAACGGCATATGTATGATGGATGTAAGGAATTATTCCTGAGATTCTTAAGGATTTGTAGCCAAAGAAATGGATTCACAAAGGAGCTAAAAAAGGCAAAGAAAGAATAGAACAAAGACGAACTAATTTTGCCTCAAATACGTGCACCACTTCTCCCTCAATAGCAAATTTTGCACCAGTAGAGCAGGTCAGAGTGGAGTGAGTGGTTTATCTCAAAGACTGTATCCAGCTCACTTGCCAAGTCCCTACTGCCTTTCTTCTAGTAACCTTCATTCCTCCAATCTCAGACTCTCCCTCCTGCTAACTCAGCCAGGTTCCTAGCTTTGTAAAAGTTCCTTTCAGTTGAGAAAGACCAGAAGGCACTAATAATGATGGGCAGAATAAAGGAAGAGTTTGGAAACAGCTGGATCAGCAAGTGTGGAAGAAGACAGAAGACTATTGACATTTATAGAAAAGAACCGTTTCCATACTGGGACTGTTAAAGGAGACTAGGGAGGAGGACAAGAAGAAGAGAACGATAGAAAGGGAATAATATGTAAATACATCTCATCTGTGCGGGAGGAACAAGACACAATGAAACATACTAGACACTGTTGAACAATATGAAGTAGAGGAAAAAGGGTGAGGAAGAGTAATAGAGGGGATTAGGCTGATAAAAGTACAATATATTTACAGGTAAAAATACCAAGGCAAAACCATACTGAATTGAGTGCTGGTGGCTCCAGCCTATAATCCTACCTACTTAGGAGGTAGAGATCAGGAGGATTGCAGTTCAAAGCCAGCCCCAGGCAAATAGTTCTACAGACCCTATCTTGAAAAAAAAAACCATAACAAAAAAGGTTTGTCAGAGGGGCTCAAGTGGTCAAAGTACCTGCCTAGCAAATATGAGGCCCTGAGTTCAAACCCTAGTGCTGCCAAAAAAAACCCCAGACACTTAAACAATGAAGGACAGGAATGTAGCACAGGTCTTGTTAAGGGAAGGGTAGTAGCAGGAGGAGGAAGAAAGAGAATAAAGGAGGGTAAATATGGTTGATGTATTTTGTACACATGTATGAATATGGAACATTGAAATCTGTTGAAGTCATTATAATAAGGTGGAGAGGGAAAGAGTGAGAACAATGGAGGGATGAACCAGGATACATTACATGCATATTGGGAAATGTCATGGTGAAACCTCCTGTACAACTATTATAAAAACATTTTTTAAAATGGTCCAAGAGGACCTCAGCTTTTCTGAGCAACCCCAATGAAGAACCTGAAGAGCAATTACTCAGGGTATTACATGGGCAGACAATATTTTAATGCAGAATTATTACTGTCACTCATGGGTAAAAATGGTCCAAACAATGTACAAGACCTAACTACATCAGCTGAAAATTGTAGTGAAACAGAGGACCCCAAGTAAGTGTCTTAAGCAAGCTAAGCATTATTCCTTCTTGGATGAAGAAACCCGGAAACAGATAGAGTAGGGCTAGTATGGCAACCCATGCTGCTATCACTCTGCTCTACCATCCTTGGCATGTGTCTGCTATTCTCAAGGTTCACCTTATAGTCCCAGATAGTAACTGAAGCTCTAGACTGCATATCTGCATTTCAGTCCTTTTGGGAGAAGGATGATAAAAACATAAGGGGATAAAAAGTGTCTTTTCCAGCTGAATCACCTCCCTTTTCACAGTTTATATCTTGATGGTCAGAACTATAAGATTGTACTTGGGGACAAGGAATTTGGAGGATAATCTTGATTTTTGTCAATGATGTGCCCAGTCAAAACTAAAGAAAGGCTTCCACTTCTGTATCTTCCACTGTATCTCCTACTAGGTGAGCATACAGTAAGCACTCAATGCATTTTCTGATCACTGAAGTCAGAAACAGGAAACAATTTTACTAACAAGACTTAGGAAACATAAGAAAGGACATAACCTAATATCAAAGATCTATTTTATAAAACATCAGCTTGAAATGTCAATGGAAATCTCACTAACACCTACACTTGACTTTTAGCTAAATCCACCAAGAATTTATAATGCTACAAATGGTCCAGAATAAAGAAGCCATCAGAAAACTAACTAGCACAGAGTGTTTGCTTTTAAGAATAGAATAAAAGGTGTCTCCGATTTTATTCATTGCTCAGTGTATAGCACCTAAAATATTAGATGAATGAATGAGTTACAGCAACTTTCTAAGTG